ATTGTTATTCTGACTTATAAATCTCTCTTTTGAATTGAGTTCATTTTCCCTTGCTGGTTAACTTTTAAACCAGCACAATGTGAAAGTTCTGGTGTCAGCCTTTGCCTGTGGGAAAGGAAGACATAAATACATAGCTTGGCACTGGCAGCTATAATTTTCTCCAGCTATGGTCTTCTGTGACTGAGACTTTGTAGAGCTGCACTTTAAAAGAAGAGATTCCTGGTTCTCACAATTTGGGAGGTAATTTTAAAAAAACAGAGTCAGACCCATGGTGCAAAAGACAGAAAATGGTTAGGTCAGATGACACAAAAATGGGCCAGAAATAGTAAGCGAACTGCAATTTTTATGTAAGTCTTCATCTTACTCAGGGAAACGCTGGCTTGGTTGCAATTTTACTAGAAATCTTTTTATATTATCACTTGTGAAAGGTATTTTCTAAAGTCTTGCAAATAATCTGGGTACAAATAATTGGGGATATTACTGTGAACTAAAATTGTGATTAGTGCTGTCATCATAGCTTTTAAGAATTCAGTTAAAAATCAGCAATCTGTTTTCTCTGAGAGACCAAATCTTTCTCCCCTAAGTCCTTTTTTCATTTATCCAAACAGAGAATATGTGCTTAATGAAGGTTTAATGTCAAATAAGTATTTAACTGCAAGCATAAACCATAAATGTAGTGGTTTTTTATTTTCTTTATTACTTCCCCCCGACCCCCCACTTTCTGTTACTGCATCAAACTTAATAAGGTTTGTGGGTTTGAAACCTGAATCATCTCAGCTTAAGGCCACTGATCAGACAGAGACATCCTGGAGCTGGCAGGCACGCCTGTGCAAACTGTGTATGCATTCCTGCAGCAGAATGGAGTACTGTCTACCATTGCTCCCACACATATTTCCAGTTTTGTTGCCAAATCCTTTGATGGAAAGGAGGGTTTGGACACTATTCTATGCTCTTCTGTAGCTCACAGTTGAGATAGCTTTTTTCCCTTATCTCTCACCCCTTCTAGCTGTAGCCTACAATATCTGGAACTGCCTCCCAGATGACTCTCAGCTCCCTACTTGCCAATGCATTCCAGAAGGCTGAAAAACATAGATGACAACAAATAGCCTGCACCAGGTTATGCAGAAAGTGAGGGTCACAGTTTAGTTCCCTGAACCAAATCTATGAGCATGCTAAATTTCAACACATCCTTCAAATGTTGTCAATAAAACATATAGGTTTTTCCTGCTTTTTAACTGTGATTAAAAAAGTTCAGGAACTTATCACATGGTTCCTAAAGGAGCTGTCAGAAGGAAAAAGTGGATCCAAACCCAAGGGACAACTATAACGGGTCATAGATCTAAGTGCAAGAAATTTCTTGAGACTTAATGAGAAGCCAGGAGATTCTGGCAGATCCAACCCATTGTTACATTTGAAAAGCTGCATGCTCAGGGAGCAAACATAGGTGAATTGAAAACACCATGAGCTTCAGCGTCTGTTTTTTTCCATTCATTTTTTATATGAAGAGTGATAAAAGTACCTTTAAAGCACCCATGAGAACAAACAAAGAAGCAGTAATTCTCAAGCTTCAAGGAACTGGTTTGTTTAGTAACACTTTAAAAACATACAAAAGAATCCTGAACTAGTAAGGATTCCCAAACCCTAATTTCTTTCTAAAAATTAACAACAATAAAAATTAATCTATTTCCCTTCAAAGACTTCAGGAATTTAAAAAAATAAATGTAATATGCAAATCCCCATTCCATTCAAAAGAATTTAAGACGTGTTTGTCCGTCATTTCTTCCAGGAACTCTTTCATATGTCAGTCTCCTCTTTTTGAACTCTGGTATTTCTGGAAATCCTGAATCTGGAAAAGAAGCAGAGGAGAAAAAAAAAGCCCCATGATAAACTACAAATACAACACATAACTATGTGTTTCATATGTGTTCAACTTAACTTCAGCAGACTTAACTGTGTTTCTCAGAAGCAGTAACAGACTCTAGCTTTAACCAGCACCCTTTCTATGAAAAGTATCAAATACCATAAAATAAAATATGTATAGATTAATACTAACTACTACTTACTGCTACTGAACAATTTTATGCATATCATCCTGTAATAAGAATATATTCATATATAGTATGTATAAGACCTTATACAAAAAGAAATAAATCAACCTACACTATGCTTAACGACAATATTTCAGAAAAGATTTTAATGCTTATTTCTATTTCATTAATATTACACTCAGTATATTCAGTAATTGTTGAAAGTGAATTCTTTTTAACCATACATGTTCATGTTTCTAAGTTGTTTAAAAAAGCTACTTACACTCTTAGTATTCAAGTTCTTTTACAATGAAGTATTTGAGAAGTTGCTTATTCAAAACAAGTTACTGTAACAAAATTCTGTTTGATCTTCACAAAAAGTATTGTCAGAACACTCTAACACTGACCTAAGGATTTAATCTGTTCCAGTAGAAATACTGGCTTGACATGGTGTCATTAATTGTCTGTGGTTTAATGAGAGCTTGATCCAAAGCCTAAACAAATCCCTGGGACATGTATCTTTTTAACTTGACTCTTTACATATTTCTTAAATGTGGGATTTTACATTTCTCAAATCTGAGCCTTCAGAGGCTTTCACTCTCTTAAGGTGGGGTTGTTTGGGTTTTAAATTCCTTTTTTTTTTTTTGTGATAGCATGCAAAACTATTTAGTATGCTTATTTTTCCCCTGGTTAGTGAATTATAAAGTAGAATAAGCCTATTCTTCCAAAATCTAAACGAAAAATCACTTTTCCTTTTTTTTTTTTTAATTTGATTCAGACTTAAGTATACCTTTGCCTTACTGGGCAAGAATATTACAGAAGGCTTATCAGTTGGAGATCACAGTGCTTTCAGAACACCGTAAAATATGGTACTACAAGAATCTGCCCTGATCTCTACTGCAAATACTGTATTTACGATTTTATGCTATCAGTGCCAGTTACAGGTTACTGAAACACTTGTTAACTTCTCAGCAATTCTACAGGTCTCAATTTTAATCCCAAAGGAGAGGCAACAGGTCTGTTCTGAGTTTCTGTGTGAACATTTACATTTACATAGGACGAATATTAAAAGTTCACCATATCCAATTAACTTTTCCTTTCTTTACTGTCATAATTACCTTAAGCAGTCCATGAAACAGAGTAATTTACATTAGTTGCTTATGTTTTCATGAATGAGTCTGATCTAATTAGTGAAAATATTTTAATGCTGTGGTGACCTTCATATTCCACCAAAAGATTTAATGACAGGCAGTAACAGAGAAATCATAATTAAGTCATCTGTACTAGGAGTTAGGCACTTTACTTAACAAGCTTAACCTTAGATTTTTAAAAGAATGTGGCACCTCACCTATGGGGAAGCAGAGGAATTTGAAAAAAATACTACAATAAATGATACAGCAATACATAGTCTGACAGGGACTAGTAATGCTTTCTTACTTGTAAGACTCCACAGCTACATATTATGGCTTATCAAAAAAGGTTTCAAGCTAACTATATTTGAGAAAGTAAACAAGGGATAAGAAAACTATGGAAAATTAATATTTTGTATAAGGACGGTACTTCCAGGAAAAACAAAGTTTTGAAGTACACACTATATTGAAGAAATATGCTTTGGAATGATTTCAAGTGGAGAGTTTAGCCCTGGAGAAATTAGCTAAAAAAGTATTCCAAGAATAAGGGAGCTGTATGAAACAAACTTAGAAAATTTTCAGAGTGCCATCTTTACTCCATCAATAGCAAAACACAGCCATTAGCAGTATCCGAATTTCACTCTCTGAATTTGCCAAATCTCTTTTTTTTCCTATAGAGTCCATATACTTTAGAGTCTTTTGTTCACCCTTTTGTCCAAATCTATGTTTACAAAAGAATCTTTCCTGTAACTTTAAAAATAATTCTGGTATGTTCATTATCCATATTTCAGGCACTGTCAAAGAGAGAAGAAACTGTACCTTACAATATTGGAGAACTACACTTTTCAATATTTTACCAAGGGAAAAAAACAGCAGTAACACAGTTCTAGTTTGTTGAGTTTGTTTGTTTGGTTTTTTTTTGTGTGTGTTTTTGTTGTTGTTGTTGTTGTTTTGTTTTTTTAAAATATTCTTTATGCTCAAAACAAAACCTGTTTAGGAACCTTTTATCACAGAAGAAATACATATCCAAGTAATTTTTAGCAAAGGAAACCTGTAACTGTTGGGTTGGATTGGTTTTAACAACTATGTGAAGAAAATAGAAAGGATTGTCTTACTAATACTCCTTACAACTTTCCAGTTGAGCTACAAACAGAATTTCAGCAAATTCTGCTTGCTTTGGACATACCTGTTTTATTTTTTTCTTTTGTCCATAAGAATGGAGGCCTTTTTTTTCTCTTTCCTTTCGATTCTCTACCTAGTTGGTTAAAATTCAGATTTTGAAGCTCATCCGTGTCAACAAAGAAGTCAGAAAGGAAACTATCACATGCAAATGAATTACACGGGCCTGTGGATGAAGAGTCATTCCATGGGGCCTGGTCAATCTGAATTTCAGGGATTTTAAATGTATCTCTAAATTCTTCTAGAAAACTCTTAGAGCTTTCCTGAGGTTCACAGACATTGAAAGTTGCAAAGAAATCCTCTTTTTCAGAGTCTTTAGAAGAAGGATCAGAGCCATCCTGTATCCTGAATGGCTGTCTTTGAACATGAAGAGAACTTGTAACATCTAGATGGGCAAAATCTTCACAGTCCTTTGATACAGCAAAGAAATTCTGCTTCCTCCTTGTAATTACGTCTGAAGAACATGCATTCTTTTGCATACAGCTTGGAAGATCAGACTTAAAAAAACTCTTATGATTCAATGGAGGAATTAATGCTTCAGAATCCATATGAGATGTTCCTGGTAGAGAAAAATTTGAAGCATTTTGTTTGGAGAATGAAAAATTAGCTTATTTCTCTACATTTTACCGGAAACCAAGATGCCATTGAGCATTCTGATTGCAGTCTGTCTCCTCAGAATAATTGGCCTTACCATGCTTAGAAGACAAAGATTCTAATGCACTCAGATTTTTCACTTGGTTTCAAAGGAAACATTTTTCTAGCAATTCAAGATATTACCTGTGCTGTTAAGGGCCTTATCAAGCAGCTCTAAAGCCTGATTTTGTTTATAATCAGGACAGATTGTGTTGAGGTCATTCTGGTTTTCTGGTTGTGATGCACCTTGCACTGTTTTTTCTAGTGGACCAGCATTTAGGTTGTATGAAGATATCATGTCACTAAAATGCTGAAACAATGAGGAATAGATAATTGAGGAATATTTATAATACCTGTCTATATCTGTCAAATATGAAAAGTTAAACCAGTTGTTAAGAGCCTAAGATGTATCAGCTTTTGTTTATTGGAACCAATACAGGAGAGGCATGTACAGTAGACAATGTGCCACTGCCTTAAATCTATAAACAGGGTAAGTAATAGTCTCTGTCTTGAAACACAGGAAAACCAGTGTCTTAGTGTAGTTTATTCTCTTTCATTAGGCCAGGACTGTAGGAAACAATGTCTGCAATGGATTGGCTCCTATAATACATCATAGAGGAATTTAACTGAGATCTTTTTCCCTTTTTTTTTTTTTTTCAGTCAATAAACATGGCTTTACACATACAGAGTTATTACAATAATAATTCCATATTCAGCGTCCAAATAGCTGTTCACTTGCTCCTTCACCTTAACTGAATGCTTCACCTTAAATGAACAGTGTCCCACATCATTTTCTTGAATAATAAAATAAGTGCATTTTTTATCTAATTAGCTGACTATAATCAATCTATATTTTTCCCAAACTTGGCCCAACTGAAACAGTAGGAACACATAATTCTGCATCTAAACATCCAGGGCTCTGTCAAATGCTTAGTTCTATGAATTTGTAAGTGGTAGTTTTGTTATTGTGTAAAAGGGAGGGAGGGAGGGAATTTTTAACAACATTTTAGACATGAATGACATGCTAAAGTGTATAATTCATTTTTAAATGATACCAGGAAATGTGCATGTAGCATCCGATTAAAAAAAACCCCAAACAACCACATATTACAACAGTGCAAAAAAGATTGATATAATACATAAAATAATTTTGGCCAACCTTTAAAACTTTTTTTGGAACCTCTGGCAGAAGTTCCTGCAGTTGATCACAGCTTGCAAGAAACAACCTGTTCAATGAAGATCCTTTCTTTAACATGAACTGAGCAACCAGAGGGTTGATACATGGAAAAGTAAGCAGGCATTTCTCTGTCTGGAAATGGAAATTATTTTGTTAGATTGATATCTGACAAAATGTTTATCTCTTTTTTTTCCTGTTTCTGCAAAATCACATTTTTATGAATAGGTTATACAGTGTATCATAGAAATAGAGCTTTCAAACTGTGAACTTTTACAGTCCAGCTACTACTGCCTTTTTTTACTACAAAAGTAACAGAGTATCATTTCTGAAACAGAGTAAGTTCTGCATAAGAGTTTGACAAAAAGCAAGCACAGTCTGAAGACATTTATTTTCTGAAGGATAAAATCAGAGAATCATGTAAACTTGACTTGAAAATGCATTACCAGATTTACCATTAATTCTCCATTTTAACGGGAATTAGCTACAGCAAGATAAACTGACAAAACTGGTTTTGTTTTACAAAAGTTATATCTGTAAAGAGCAATGGAACAGGTGCCAAAAGCAGGAGTTGTCAGGGGGAGGGTGAATGCCACACACAGGGCAGCAAGCTGAGCACAGTAGCCTGTAATGAATGTCAGCTTCCAATTCCTGACTTTCATAAAGCTCTGTACTCAACAGATGACAGGATCAAATATCTTTAACAGAGACAAAATACAATGACTCCTCTCAGTTTTTTAACAGTATCCTTCATCTCTAAATTGGAAAACCTATAATCCAATATCCCACAGTTGAAAGGCCATGCCAATATCTGCTTTATTATGCTTCTGAATTTTGCAAAAGCCAAGAACAATCTAAGCTTCACGAGAGAGTTCAAAGCTTTTACATAAAATGAACAAATCCATATGTTTAATTTGAAAACCTTACTATAAAAGTTAAAGAAGATCACTGATGGGCCTGTTCCAGCATTTACTGTAAATACACAATATCACCTACTGCATAAGAAGTTAAACAAATGTCTACTATCTGGTATTAAAGCAAGTCAGCAGGCAATGCCATTGACTTTGGTAATGGATCACCACTGATGAATTTGGCTTCCTGCCCAAGTTAGCCACTATATGTTCATCTTTTACAATTGGGGTAGTTTTTAAACTTAGTGCCTAGAACTGGAGAACTGTACAAACTGGCAGACGAATGTGGAGGATAAACTTCTCTACAGGTTGTGAAAGTCATGGAAAGTCCAGGTTGCCTCTAATTGTGCTGGCAAGGATGACAGAAACATTATATATATATATATATATATATATATATATATATACACACACACAAAATATGTGTGTGTACAGATACAAAATAATGGTTATTCTAATAAGATATTTTAAGAGAACAACAATGAAAAAAGTCTAGAATTTAATGAGTCTGAGAAACAGGAAGAAAACTGTAGGTTCAGGGGAAGATAAGCAAACCTCAGACGGCAAGACAGAAAGCCAGGATTTGTCCAGCCACTCATGAGGACTGATATTAGACGCTATCAAAATGCTGTCAGCAATCTGACGAATTACCAGTGCTGCCTCTTCAATCCCCGGCATAAGAACTACCTAAAGGAGATGCAGAATATTTTGGTTAAAATTTGTAGTAAGGATTGTCTTAATTTGCTACAGAAGTTGAGGTGACAACTAAAGATGACCTGAACACAACAGCTGGTAATGTGGAGTAATTAAACCTGATCCATGCCTATCAGGCAGAGGAACTCCGACTTCTGACCACTAGCCTGGCTACAAATGACACTCCTTATTTATGCAAATCCTATGTAGGTGAAATTAACTTATCCTATAGGTTTTTTATATGTTATCAATTTTCTGGGTTTGAGTTCCTAAAAAAACCAGCTATTCTGAGATGCCTAATACAATTTAAGAAGATATGTAACACTTCGAAGGTGTAATTTCCACACAATCTACACTGCGGTGTACATGGCATGAAAAAAGTTTTGTCCTCTCTGTAACTTTCATTCAATCAGGTAAATTTTATATGAAATTTAACATGCAAATAAGTGAAAAAGTGCCTAGAAAGGTATTACTTCATTCAAAAATAGGTTACCAACATCAACTTTGTAAGCTGAATGAGACTTCTGCCCCATTTTTTAATGTTGATAATTCTATACACTACATTTTCTGATTTATGAAAAAAAAAGTTAATTTGTCTTGTCACATAAAAAAAGCAAACTAGAAAATTAGACTTTTTTTTCTTCTTTTACATCTGTAACATAATACTGAGCTGAAAATTCAAATTAAGACATAAGCAGGATTAATCTATATTCTAGTAATTTATTAAAGGTACAATCGCATTTTTTTACTCTTAGCCATAAAAAGACCTTCAACTGCTATTTGAATCTCATTCAACTTGTGTTGCAGCTAACAGTCTTTTCAGTGATTTTAGCAGCACTGAATTAAGATCTTCTCTCTTATTTTAGTAATTTTTAGCTATTTTATGTTTTTGATGTGGAATGAATACTTGTTTGAGCTCTCTAGAAATATCATATCAGTGAAGATTAAAACAGAAAAAAATTACCTTCACTTCAAACTCTTCTGACTTCTGTGTAAGCTCAATTAGAGTGGCATAAAGTAAGACAAGGTTAAGCAGAGTATCTCCCTTGAGACTGTACCTGTAAAAGAGTTTTACTGGACCCTTAACATTTAATATGCACATGTAATAATTCCAAAACATTTGATATATATCTTAATAAATGTCCATTTCATTTCCAGGATTTCAGAATACTAGTACAGTTGGAGCATTAATATTTGTGAGAGGAAAATTAGGATGCATTAAGGGACTCAGTGCTGAAGAATGGACTGTGAGGAAGAAAATGGAGTCAACCCACAACAAAGCAAGTCCAGCCTGAAGCAAAAGGTCTGCATCAAGGTCAGAGATACTGGAGAGGACATACAGAGAGGGATGGTCATGCATGGGAAAAGTAACACCTGCTTATAGAAAAAAAGAGATAATAAAGGAATGCTTATGAATTATATCAACAAAAGGTGTGCTTCCATAGCAAAAGGAGAACTACAGATGCATGGGAAGAAAACTTGAAGAATGTTTCCCTGTTGCAAATGATACACAGTGATGTTAGCACAGTAATTCATAACTCTGCATTTGTAGGGGTTAATTTACTTCAAAGTTATAAAGAATAATTCCTGTGCTTCATATCCTTAGTCTCGTGAAGTTTCTGGACCTGCTGATTTGGAACGCACCTTGCATTAGTATTGCCTGTTATTTTATAACAACCATTTCTTTATCTATTTTGTAAGACTAAAAATATCCTAACAAATAAAAAACATATTTGCTAACTTTTTTTGGGTCTCCAGTGATAACTACTACTTTTGTCATGTCACTGAGTTTTTCAGTAGGACCGTGGCAACACTGTAACTGAGTGAAAAGTCCAAAGTTCTCTAGAAATATGAATCTACAATATTCGTATTGTTCTAAGAAGAAATGTTTTCCTACAGGGAAGTTCAAAGTGTATCAACTGGTTCGAGTAAGCAGCTTCCTTTAGTGATAAGTTTGTTTTAAAAATACCAGGATAACAAAAGAATTTCATAACTTACTCTAAATTCAATCTCTCTCTGGAATAGAAAACAATCCAACAGCATGTGTATTGGAGTGATAATGCCATCAGCCTCGATATTAAAGTGTCACAGGAATTCTCATAATTAAGTTCTTCCACACTCTACCATAGAATTTAAATGAAAAGTAAAAAGCAAATAAATACATTACCATGGCTGTCCCAACCTTGAATGTGCATTGCTATATTATGGAGAAGTTAGATCAAACATAAACACAGCTAAATAATGTAAGCATTAAGGACACATATGGGATTGGGAGAACTAGCTAGCATTCCCAACTTTTATTTTGTTTGACCTTTAAAAAGCTGATTCACTGCTTCATGGCCTTTCTTTCTTTCTGTAAAAAGAAAACACTGCCACTGACTTTTTTGGGATGTTAAGATTTTTGTAAACTTTAATAATGCAAAATACTGATATAAAACTCTGAAATACTTAACCTATACAAATCATATTATACCTACACTAATTATATAAAGTACACCATCACTAATTTCAATAGCATGTAGGAATGTCTGTGTTGTGCTTGCAATACTAATTGATTATTTTATTATTTATCTGTCTTTCAGAAGCAGTTCTTCTACATGAAAAGCAATGTCTTCTGTCATACCAGAATTTAAGTACTATGCTATTGTTTAAACCATTATTCTTTATTAAAAGTAGGACAAATTACTCTCTAGACTAATTCAGATAACAACCTGAAATGGGAGGAATTAACATGCACACTGGTAAGAGATTATAGTCACAAATACATTTAACTGGTCATTACAAAATTTCTTTATACAACCCTATTGTCATGTATGCATTCTCTAACTGCATTTAATACTATCAAATCACAGGTCAAAAGTTACACTTCTGTGAAGAAATGGAGAACATTTCAAACCAGTCAAACTGGCAGAAACAGCATTTTGGACTTAATGAATTTGGAAATAATTTGTGATGTGAAACAATGCATGAATGATACATGATTATGAGGAAGAAAAGATATGCTAGAAGCCTGCACATATGGCCTAGAAGTGCCCCAACACATAATAAAAATTGCACACAGTAGTTTCATTTTGTACCTGCAAAAAGATAGCAGTACATTCGTCTATTGTCAACACCACATATCGATCTATACTTCCAAAGAGCCTTAAGGAGTAACTACTGGTTCTTTCAACAAAGGTAATGCTGTACCTGAAAAATTAAAATTATTTTATTAAAACTCAATCAAGTGAAATAATATATTTTTCTTAAAGGAAATCAGTAACATCTACCTCTTAATACAATTTTTTAACTTACAGACTTAACAGTCTTTTCATACATTGATCTTTCTCAAATGGTCAGTTCACTTTAAGACTCAAACAATGTACATCAATGTAGCAGTGATTTAATGAAATATTACTGGATTAATTCAATTAGGTTGCTAACTGCATCAAATATGACCATATACAGCCTTTGAGTTTACAAAAAAAAAGACGTAATACAGAAACTCAGACAGATAAATCAAGATATATACTTAGAAACTCCTATTTACTACCTTTGTATATTTAATTACTTTTCCTCCTTTCATGATGGTGCAGCACAGGGAGAGCAAACTGAGTGAAAACTCCCTGACTGCCATTGGTACGATCCTAAATTTTTCTGAATGACTGAGAGCTGTCAGCAGCACAGCCCCCTATTGTGTTTCATTAGGAAACACAAGAGACCTGAACCTTAATCTGCCAGCACTAAGTTGTCTATAAACTTATATGGACATTATTGAAAAAGCAAACTATTACTTTTTGTGAAACTATATTGCTCTTTGCTCACCTATTTAACCACTCCACCAATGCTACAAAGAGTAAAAGTACCAAAAAGCATTCCTAGCTATTTAGCTTATGGCCAGGCTGAATGGAGAATATGAACAAGTCAGAGTTTAAAAGCATGTCAGATCATATGTTCAAATTTTAAATGTCAAAAATATATATATTTTTTCCCCCTACTGAACTGTAATTAGACACAGCTCAAAAATGACTCCACAGCTGACTCATGGATAGCAAAGATCAAAATTGGCATGTCTCTGCAGCAATGTGGTGAAATCTACCACCCATATCTCTGTCACTATGTTTAAGAGATACTGCTGCTCTGGTCTCTATTTCTTTCTTTCTTTCTTTTTTTTTCTTTCCTCTCACATGATAAAAGGTACCTTTATGAGGTATTTATAACTGTGAAAGCAAAATTCAAGAAAATTATGTCAAAGTAAATAATGCAGAAGCACAACGATTGACAACCACAACATTTTTTGCACAGGTTATAGAGTTTTGAAAATTAAGTGAATATTAGATCTGAATTTTAGGAATAAATTACCCTGTTTTGAACTTAGCCTCTTCCAAAGGCTGTGAAGCATCAGAAAATGTTTTAATTTTGTCCATTTTGCTTTTTTAGCATAGATCCAGTAGTTAAAAAGCAAAAAAAATTCAACAGCAATTTTTATGAAGAATTAAATATAAAGTCTTCCACGCACCAAGAAGCACTAAAGCAAAATGTTTTAGATAATATTACAATTTTCAGGGAAAAGTAGAAAATTAAAAGAGTTGTTTTTATTAAAAGTATCAGTTCATTATAACAATAAACAAATTGGAAAATTTCATCCTGGTTGACATCTGTGTGAATCTCCAAAATTAAGCTATCAGCTTCAGCAGAAAAGCTATCTTCTTATGTCTTAAAATGCTAATAGTGTAATTGCAGAAATGTATCTGATAGCCAAGTAGATGGCTAATACATGATACAGTGGGACAAGATACAAGTCCTGGAAACTGAAAAATAAATAGCCAATATGATTAAATAGGTGATTTTCACTCACTTGGATTCAAAAAGCTGAAGAATATCTGGCATATTAAGAAGCCCTTCAGTTGTCAGAAACACATATGGAATCTGTACTTCCAGAAGAAAAGAATCACTGTGATTGCCTAAAACATTTTGTATATGTAAGATAGAGGTTTCCTGAGCAAAAAACTAAAGATACATTTAGATATTTAAATAGACATAACTTTTAAAACAGAGCTTTTATTCATCCCCAATAAAGTGATTTCATCATAGGTTTTTTTCCCCCCACCCAAATTAAACTCTTCTGAATCTCTGTGAAATTAGGCTTACATCCAGATTTCTTTAGAACTACAACATTCCCTTAGGATGAGGAAGGGTGGACACAGCTTGTAGTAACTGTAAACAACCTACAAACTTGACACAACTGCCTTATAAACCCCCATGTACTACTACATCTTGGCCAAAACTAGGCTTACACTTGAATAAAAACACCTTCCTATCTTGCTGCATAGATAAACCAGCTCTGTTTGCTTAGCATTAGCCTTCATAACTTATTACTCATTCTCTTCCACAGGCTCATCAATGTAGCATTTTAGGGAACAGAAAATGTTTTCCTTCATATGCCAGCCTAACTGTTGGTTACAATTCTGGAGAGCACTTACCCATTTGTATTGTTTCGGGGAAGGTAGTTTTAAAAGTCATGTAAGCAACATTCAGATTTTTGCACAGATTTTTCCAGCAAGAATCTTCAGAATAATCATATTCCATTACTAATGAGAAGTGTGTCCAAGGGAAGTCAGCTCCAATTTGCTGATTATGTACAACAATGCAGGAATATCTACTAAGGCTTAAAAAATCCAACAAAATGTTAATAAAGTTAAGTTCAGGAAGAATTACCCTCAGAACAAAATAAACTAAATTTTACTTTGATAAATTATGACTGTTTAAAGTGAAGTATATTTTTTACCAAAAAAAATTTACCCTTCTCTTACCTAAAAGTCTAACTTCTTTAAAAATCAATTAAAAAATTAAAAGCTGTAGTTCTCCCATTCTAATTATCTTCTTGAAGCATTCATATTTTCCCATAATGTCATAATTTTTCAATTTTACCCTTATGCCCCTTTCGCACTGTTTTCTAAAACATGCAAAAAATTTTATTTCTCTGGCCAAGTTTCTCTAAAACATGCAAGACAAAATAAAAGGTTAGAAATATGCAATTTTTTGTTCTCTAAAAGTACCTCTGAGCCTCACTAATCATTTTGCTAGAGTGTGGACAAAATAAAAATGAAGGTGTAGGTCTATACTCTGTAAACTGTACTCCAGACTGGGAAGTCCCATGGAAATGAACAAAGGTAACTTAAGTTTCACTGACCTTAGTCCTGACTAGAGAGTCTGTTCTAAAAAATCAAGAATTTAACTTACTTGCTTATGATATCTTTACAAGCTAAAAGAGTTCCTTTTTTCTCAGAATTCAAATCCACAGCTTTTAAACCTGCTTAAAAAGAATGAAACCCTTGATGAAATAAATGAGCCTCTGTGAGTATGAATCAATGCAAAGCAGTAAGTAGCAAATGTGGAACAACATAGGTTATTGAAATTTTAAGTATTACATTGTCTCTTGTGATGAAGTTCCATACAATTTCAGTTTGTATTGTACTGTTGGGTATAATGATTTGAAAACTTCTGTCTTGGAACCCAAGGAAGAAGTAATGCAAAAAGGTTTCATATCTCACAAACTTACAACCCTACTACCTTAAAAATGAAAAATTAAATGCTAATGCAAAAGGAAGCACCTTTGCCCCTCTATAAGTTAAATTTCTTTACACCTTCTATACATTTGAAATTTTACAAGTATAACTGGAAGATGTATCTAAGAAGGAATGTTGGTATAACAGAAGTGTCTCTCTTCAGAAGTGTAGTTAGCTGGATTGATCTGGGTTTGCAATCAAGCCTTAAGATCTTAAAACAAATAAAATACTTTTCATTAAATATTATTATTAGTAAAAGCATTGTGAACATGCCTCCTCCCTTTCAAAACATTTTAAAAGACAGGCTTTCTTCTTTTAAAAGTGCAGGAAATTTAACTTTATTTTTAAAGGCAAAAGAACAATTACAGTACATGACATCTGATAAGGTTCATGCAAGTAGAATTTATGAAAATGGATTTTAAAAAACAATATGAAAGAAATCTGTGACTTGCTCAAAGTACAGGCTCAAATAACAATTTTCCTGAAACATGTTTGGTTTGCCAGCTGAATTTGTTACATTGAACAAGCTTGTGCAAAAATTACTCACAGGTAAAATGTCAAACAGATGAAAGCATTACTGGTATCAGTGGGGAGATGGGATATTGGAAACAGTATTTTTTTACCTTGAGTTCAACAGATCGCTAGAGCTTATGCTGACATATTTAACAAATTACCAAACCAGATGAGCGAAATAAGGAAAAATATGATCTATAACTAACTACTCATTCAAGGGTTTATGCTGGGGAGTTTAGTTAGGACTTCTAAATTCTAATTGCTCTTAAATAACTTGCAAGGAAGAAAGCTTGTGACCAATCAGCTAAAAACAATGAAACAATCTGATCAAGACAACAGATGCAAATTAGACAATGGTCTGTCCACAGCTCTTTTGTGTTCTGTTAAGGAAATTTTTGACTTGACAGATGAACTAACATTCTGTTGCAAAAGAAAACATTATATCAGAACTTTTAATGAGGAGAAAATAAAATTAAAAGACAGAAAAAATGGCTGATGGAAGAGTTAGGAAACATTAAACAGTGAGAAAAATATATAGAAAGGTTTCTGATGAGGAGAAAAGGGAGAAACACCTTCATGAAGCATTCAAACAGGAATGCAGCAAACCACAGAATAACAGCCATATTTTCTTTTAAAAATACATATTAAAATAATTATTTACCTTCTACTCTAGATAACGGCTGAATGAGGGCTGCTTTTTCTCTTTCCGAGTCCATTCTTATAATGATTAGTAACTGTAAGAAGACAAGTAGAAGAAACTCCAGTAATAATAAAAAAATTCTTCTTTCAGCCTGCATACATCTTTCTTTCTCCTTTGCACAGAAAGCACAAGACTGATTAAACAGGTGGCAAAAATAGAAACCTTGGAGCTTTCCAGAATGACAATCATAGAATATCTTAAGTTGGAAGGGACCCATAAGGATTACTGAGTCCAAATCCCTGCTCCTCAAAGGACTACCTAAAACAAAGCCATATGATTAAAAGCATTGTCCAAATGCTTCTTGAACTTGGACAGGCTTGGTGCTCTGACCGCTTCCCTAGGAGTCTGTTACAGGGGAGACCACTCTCCCAGTGAAGAACCTTTCACCTAATGCCCAATTTGAACTTCCTCTGAAGCAGCTTCATTCCAGTTCCTCATGTCCTATTGCTGGTCATGAGAGAGAGGAGATCAGCATCTCCCCCTCCACTGCCCGCCTTGAAGAAGGTATAGACTGTGATGGGGTCACCCCTCAGCCTTTTCTTCCCCAGGCTGAATGAGCCAGGTGACCTCAGCTGCTCCTTCTATGTCTTGCCCTTGAGGCCTTTCACTGTCTTGATCATCCTCCTCTGGACACACAAAACACACAAGTTTGATGTCCTCCTTACATTGTGGTGCCCAAAATTGCCTCAATATTCAAGGTGAGGTCGCCCCAGCGCGGAGCAGAGTGGGACAATCCCCTCCCTCAACCAGCTGCTGATGCTTTGCCTGATGCCCCCTCAGACACGGTTGGCCCTTCTGGCTGCCAGGGCACTGCTGACCTGCCACAGACTCGGATGCCTGGGTCTCTTTCCATAGGGCTGCATTCCAGCCTCTCCTCTACCACTTTGTACGCGTAACCAGCATTGCCCCATTCCTGGTGGAGAATCTGGCACTTGCTCTTGTTATATTGCATACCACTGATGATTGTCTAGCTCTCTAGTCTATTCTGATTTTTCTGCAAAGCTATCTGCCATCAAGGGAGTCCACAGCTCCCCCTAATTTCATATCATCAGTAAGCTCAATTCATGTACTTTTGATTCCTGCATCTCGACCATTTATTAAAATATTTAAGAGCACTGGTCCTAAAACTGAGCCCTGGGGAGCCCCACTGGTCACTGGCCACCAGCCTTTCATTGTAACCCTTTGAGCCCAACCCATCACCCAATTGCTCACCAAACATATTATGGACTTGTCTAGACTTGTGATGGACAGTTCATCCAGCAGGATACTGTGAGAGACAGTACCAAAAGTTTTGCTAATATTCAAAACCACCACATTCACTGGTGTGATCAACTTAATGGGTGACCTTGTCATACCGGCAAAAAGAAAGGAAAGTAATTTCCTTAAGCAGGACTTAGCCCTTGTGAACCTGTGTTGGCTGTGACCAATGACTGTGCTGTTTCTCAAATGTTTTTTAATAACTCCCAGAATAACTTTCTCCATAATTATCAGGCACTGAAGTGTGACTGACAGTTCTGTAATTACCAGGGGCTTCCTTCTTTCTGCTCTTGAAAACTGGGACAACATTTGCCAGCTTCCAATTAGCTGGGGTCTCTCCAGACTCCCAAGGCTGTAGAAAAATAATGGAGAGAGGTCCCACAATGACATTTTCCAGCTCCTTCAGTACCTTGGATGAATCCCATTGGGCTGCATAGGTCTATGCACAGCCAGCTGGAGCAGCAAGTTGCAAAAAAAATTCAGAGTTGGCTGGGAGTTCATCATCATCCCCAGTCACAGTTTTCTAATGCTGGGCTCTGGGGGTAGCAGGGCCCATCATAGGAGTTGAAGACAGAGGCAAAAACGGGCAATGAGCGTCTCTGCTTTGCCTACATCCCTTTTTGTGAGGTGACCAACCTTGTCAAGCAACAGACCATTGTTATCTCTGATTCTCATTTTGCTATTGACTTATTTAAAAAAGCCCTTTTTGTCATCCTTCACAGTGCTGGCCAGCTTGAGCTCTACTTGAGCTTTGATCCCATAAATTTTCTCCCTACAGGAGCAAAAGCCTTTCTGTAGTCCTTCCATGTCACCTGTTCCTGCTTCCAAAGTCCATATACTTTCCTTTCCCACCTAAGTTCTAGAAGAAGATCCCTGCTGAGACAAGCCAGGCTTCTGCCTTGCTTGTTTGGCTTTTTATGCCTTGGAATTGCCTGCTCCTGCAATGGAAAGAGATGGCTCTTAAAAAAATGACTAGCATTCCTGAAAGCCAATACAGATTACCCAGAGATCTTACTAAATAGCTCCTTCAGGAGTGCAAAGTCTGCTCTCCCCACATTCAAAGTCAAAGTTTTGCGGGCAATTTTTCTCCAACCATTAACGATTTGAAACTTGGGTGTATGTGTGCATTATTACAATGAATAAAGCTGTTCTAGAAGAAATATTAAACTGGAATATTTGTGTCAAAGTAAAAATGCTACTTAAAGGTATTATCTAAAGAGATTATACCCCATTATTACTGTTGCACTAGACATATCTGTCACATTAGAGGCATAATCCTTATGGAGGCAAAACTTAAACTGAAGATATCTAGAATTCAGTCTGCAAGGTAGTGATGCACTGGAGGGAGGTACTGCTGAACTAGTTAAGAGATTTCCCACTCCGTAGACTGCCAATCTGACAAGCTTAAGACAGATTTCAATTTCCATATGTTGGTACACAGAACAGCTATCTAACAATCCACTGGCACTTTCATAAATAGTTTTGGACAACTGCATTTGAAAATGTAGACCTGCTTTTCCACACACAGTACAACAGCATACGCCTTACACATTCATGTGAGCTAGATGAAATTTTCAGTCATGTTCTATTCAATTATGAGTATAAAAGATAAAAAAACAAAGAGTAAAGTTCATTTTTTTAAGCCAGTAGCAACTTCTTGCTTACAAAGGAAATGACCCATTACAATCCTGTATCAATAACAACTTTGCATAATAAAAAGATAACCAGATTCTCATATCTTACGTCATGTAAACTGATACTGATGTGATATGAAAGAACAGTAAATGGTTCATTAAGTACAACATTTACTTCCTATTAAAACTGGAATACCCCTTCTGCCTATTCTGAGCTCATTGAAACTTGACTTCGAATGGAAGGTCATTGAAACCTCCCTCTCCTAGGGAACAGTAAACAATTTATAATTGTGAATAAAATCATATATATAGTCTTACATTGTATGCATATGTGTGCATGACTTTAAGTCTAGGAAGGAAGTCAAAACATAGGAGAATTATAGTTAAAAATTTAAAAAATTCTAGTGGAGTTCAGAAGAAAAGCCAAACTGTCACTGAGCTGACATCAAGATGACAAAGTTCTCATGTTTTCTAGTAAACATAATCCTAGTATGAGAAAGCAAAATGTGTTACTTTGAAGAAAATGATGTTGAAATAAGCTTAGATTGTCTGTTGAAGGACAGACACTAAAACAATCAACACCATTTTGTTTTTGTTGCTTCATTTCAATTTTAAATTTTAAAAAAGGTGTACAATAAGCTATTATATTGTCCTTCTCAGGAAAATTTGATCAAAAGTTATTCTGAGTTCTTACTGCAACTTTTAACAGAAACAAAAGAAGAATAAACCTCCAGGTTGTGAAGTATGGAACGTAGCTAAAATAAACTTGAAGATCTTTTTTGGCTCTGTATTTAGCAGCATAAATTCTATTCCAAACAGTCAGGACACTTAAAACATTATGCATTTTATCCTGTCTGACTCATGTGATCAGTATTCTGTAAATAAATAATAAATATTTTGCAAAGACAAGTGGTATTTTGTACTGCGTGGTATCCCCCAAAATATTCACATATCCAGAAAAAAAAAGTCTTTGGATAATTTGAATATCCTCCACAATTCTATCCTCCAATCATAGTTATCAATTATGCATATTTGCTTCCTATAGAATTAGAATAGTAGGAGATTGACCTGATACACTGGTTAAGCAGAGGTCATCTGTGGATTACAATACCCACATACTCTGTGGTGTGTGCTCCAAGTCAGCTGTACAAGTGCACAGTCATGATGTGTACTATGGTTCTCTCTGCATCAGATGATTGAGGCCTTCAAATAAAAGGTTATATATGATTTTCAATAACTGATGTGACACAATATACTTACCAGGGAAACAAAACCACCTGCAGTGAAATGAAGTCCTGGCAACGTTAAAATTCATATGCATGTTATCTCAGGCATACAACAAGGGGAGATTTGATCCAACAGAAACCTGCACTGCTCCTGACAGAGGTCTTAAAATTTATATTACCCTAATTTAACAGATAGTATGAAATGGAAAGGTAATAATTAGACTTTTTTTCCCCATAAACCAGCCCTTGTTAAAAGATGGTGTTATAAATATTCACATAGTCTGGAACAGTTTTGTTTGCTTAGAGAAATTGGTTACATTGTTAACCTTAACACTGTGTTTCTCTCCATAACTTTTCATCCAATTTAACATTTCACACTGAAGAGCTGTTATTTTGGGATTTGTTTCATGCTTTTTCTGGCTGCTGTACTGTACGATCTTCAACTGCCTCCAGATGTTATTCAAACAGGATTCTAAGATGTTTTTATAGATATCCTTTGCCTTGGACAAATAACCTGTTAGTAAAGCAACAAAAGATAATTGTCAAGCATTGTGTTTAATCTGCACATCAATTTAAAATCTATATGAAGGGTGTCTGGCACAAAAGCAGATGAAAATTCAATGGCTTGCCAAAATGGAGGGATAATATTACCAGTAAGTAGATATGTAAATGGACTTTGTAAAACTGCAATACTTTCTCTAGTATCCATAGACCTTATGACTTCAGCTAGAATTATTCAACACGACATTCTATGGCTGCAGAAGCAGGCAGCAGCAATGTTATATTTAACTAATCTATATAGTTTATACTAAATAACAACATTATTTCTGCCATCACTGTCCAAAGCTTCACTTGTCCTGCATGTTTACCACTCTTCAAACTATCACAACTAGTTCTCAACTCTGAATGGTGCCTTCTGTATACAATTGGTGAACAATGATGAGGTTATTTGAAAATGCATACATCTGAGATAACTGTGTGATGAATTGCACAGCACAGCACAACAACACAACCTGTAGTGAAGACTATAGGGCCTATTCAGAACCAGGCTCCATTTTTCTAAGTTTTTTCCCAGATCTTTTTTACTTGTACAGTTTCCTGTGTCAGCTGTTGCTGGGGTTTGGAAACACAGGTGCTTTGTAATTCTGAAATATCACCTAGGAGTGCTTCTGCTACAATAAACAGTGGAGGAGGAACTGCTCATTTGGTTTCCTTCCACCCTCTTACCTTGTTTATAGTAATTGTAGAAAATAACTTTACTTGGGATTTTATTTATTTACTCATTCTGTTTTTTCTTCCTACTCTTCTATTGCTAGAAATATTTAAGGAAATACAAAATAATTTATTTTCCCTACAGTTTCACTTATGGCAGATGTTTTCCATTTTACATCAATTTTAAGGAAATACTATCCATTAAGGAATTCAGACTGATTGAAGTTAGATGCTCTGAAACACCTTTACTGCTATAAAGACAGAGGGAGCCTGACTTTCCTAAAGGCATTCATAAATGCTGACTTCAGCTCTTTATTGATCTATTTTGATAGAGGTATCTGATAATTCACAATGCAGAACTATGACAATTTGATAAGCTCAGCATTATCATTTCAGGCATTAAACTGGGTTACAATGGATTTTCATATTCCAAATCTGAATAGCATAGGACCAGAAAAGCTCAAAAAAAGCTGTGTAAATTAAGTTATAACTTAAAACTCCATGTCTTATGGTACACTAGATAATATTTCAGACTTTGCTTAAAATGCCCTCATATTTAAGTACCTAATTTTGAAGGAGCCTAAGAATATTTTTAGGTGGAAAGTGCTCCAGACTCACAGAAGACAGATTGTAAATAAAAAGGAACCTGCCATTTTTGCATATTTCTCAGTTTCACACAGAGATTACAATGAGAATTTGTCATTCTGAGATACAACACATAATATATGTGGAAATTCATAAGAATGTTTCTTCAACAAATTAATGGAATGACATAAACAGAGGTATATTAGTCATGAACAGAGCGTACAGTGATGGCAAAGAATCACAGCTACAAACATGAAGGACAGACTGCAGAACACACACAAAGCATTGGGTTTCTGGGCATCATTATTTACTACTGAAAACAAACCTAGTGCTGTGTCCAAGCCACATGACAATAGCAGATCTCGAACTGTCACCAGCAGGTGTACCAGAGCAGCATGTCTGAACAGCATGATCTCCTTCTCATCTATTTTACCTTTACAAATAGAAGACTGAGGTGTGGTTGTGGTCTGCGTAAAATTTCAGAAATCTCACTGTACACACATAATCAATTTAAAAGATCCTGGTATCTCAGAATTTTCATTAAACACACTTAAAAACAGACAACCTTCAAAGCTCAGATCTGGTGATCTTGGCAAGCATAACATCTCCTATGCCATCTGACCCAGAGCAAGTGGCACACAGGGAAGTGTTTTTGAGAGGTGTGTGGGGACAGATGATATTTGCTGGAGTAGGGGATAACAGTACCCTTGGGAGTGCCATTAAAACCACACTGCTTACTGATTTTAGTAAGGGAATCTAAATATACATGGCTACTGATAAATTTCCCATCTTTTGGTCCATCATACAAACCCAGCTGTTCACATTACTATTTCCTCATCCAACTAGTCAAATCACTAAATTTTTCAACAGCACTGTAACTCCATTTACCCTGTTTTCCAAACATTTCAGAACTCTTTCCAAGAAACCAAATCAGTATGGACTTTTTTTCCTTGTCATTTCTAACATGGGTATAGCATTTTGCATCATGCTGGTGGGATGAAATATAGCTACTAAAAGAAAAGAAACAACAAAAACACACAACAACTTTAATTTTAAAATCTAGCATGAAAAAATATTGTGTTTTTTGCTGTAGAGGCAACATTTCTGAAGCATATGTAAAATATTTTAAAATTAAATGCAATCAGAATACTTTTTTGTATTGCAATATTGAGGTTAATAAATGCAATGTTGAACAACTAGGAGACATTATTTTGGAACTAAAAGAGGAAATCAATTACTGTAAGTCTATAAGACAAACTGTTAATAGTTTTATTATTAATTTATCAAGTATTTTGAACCTTGGGTCACCAATTAAATCTGTATTAGTTTTAAAGAAGAAAAAACCCCAGAGATGCTTTTTAAAAGACATACCTTGTTCAAAATTATCGCATACTACTTTCTCTTGCTGTTTTAAGAAAAACCTTGTATGATCAAACTTAACACTGTCAAAGCTCCAATTTACAGAAGCAAGTACACCCAGATGCGTCAAATCTTTTAGTACAGGAATGGCTGCTTCTTCCAAGAGGCAGTATGCCTGGCATTGGCTTTCTGCATAGCACAATAAACAAAACATGATAGTAAAGTTTGGTTTCATAAACTACTATTGGACAAGAATAGTCCAAAGACTCAGAAAACACTAACAACACTGACTTCTTCATGAAAATTGCAACATTAATGGAAGAAGAGTTGCTCCCCATGGAACTTCCTGAGTGGTAGAACTAAGCCGATCTTCACGGCAGGCATCCATGCTGTTCCATGCATTTCATAAAGTGACCAAACTCCATGATGAAAAATTAGGATTTTTTACTCCTGTGACTCACACTGAAATTGTACTACTATTCCATTGTTCTACAGCCTACTTTTACATTGTAGTCATTTTCAAAATGATAATTTTTGTTTTGACTGCAGAAAAGCCTAATTTTTTTCCTCTGGTTGCATTAAAGGAGTCTTGCTTCAAAATTTATTAGAAAAACATAATTAAAAAACAAGCTTATAGCTATGATTCCCATCTCAGATGGAAACAGATGAAAATGCTGCTGTATTCTTCCACTGGTTCTGTGAAAGACATTCACATTAAGCACATGCTTGGAGTAAATGCATTTTCATGGGAAACCAAACTAATCTGTACCAGGTCCACAACTTCCTAGCACTGTGTATGCTTGATTTGAGGCTCTAAAATAGCTTGGATAAATATTTTCTGGGTTATTCTCTACCATTTCTACCGCATGAGAAAATTGTTGTCAGTGCGTGTTTTTTGATACAACTCCTTGTACAACAGCCAGAGTTCACAGAGTAAGGCTCAGTCATGTGTTAATCCACAGTACATTTCTACTGTGTTCAAGACACTTCCTATCAAAACAACTACTGATCCCTTCCATCTCCAGTTCTCATTTACTCTGTCAGAGGAAAAAGTAAAGAATAATAATTGAAGGGTATTGATTGGTATGAAGAGATTGTATATCTGCTAATTTAGATCAGACATAACCCAAAGTCTGAGTTACTCTTTTTACTTTGGATGTGATTGGCTTTAGTATTAAGATGGCATTCTAGAGCCTGCTCTCACACCTGTGTCAAAACAAATATCCACTTACTTGCAATGTTTCCAGTCACAAGGAGCAGAGACTAAAACTAATAATTTATGCATTTGTTTGAGCAGTACTATTTAATATAAAATTATATTGCAAAGCTGTATAGACCCATAGAATTGTTAGGATCATCAAGTTCAACTGTTAACTCAGCACCACCATGCTCACCACTAAACCACGTGCCCAAGTGCCACAGCCACACTTTATTTGAACACTTGCAGGAATGGTGATTCCATCATTTCTCTGGGCAGGCGGTTCCAATACCTAACCATCCTTTCAATGAAGAAGTTTTTCCCAAGATCCAATCTAAAGCGACTCTGGCACAGCTTGGGGCCATTTCCTCTGGTCCTGTCACTTGTTACCTGGGAGTCTGACCCCTACCTTCATATGGAAAAAAAAGCACATCCAAAAATAGTATACCTGATGCTTGAATATTGACTGTGATACCGTCTTCATTCTCTTGGGTTTTTTCCTCTGTTTTTACAATCTCACAAACAGAGTCATCCTCTTTGTGAACATGCGTATGCTGTTCTTCGGGTTGTAGCACTGAATTATTAAACCACAAGTGAATATTTAGACACAAATATCACAAAAACAGTTCAATGAATAAGAAAACTGTTCAATAAATGACTCTACATGCAAAAATATTTTCAATTTAAATAGTTTCTATGACATACACATTTTCTCCTCATGAATTCTTCACTGTTTTCATGCGTTTACACAGTATGGGAAAAACATCAAGACACAAAAGGAGATTGGGCCCTGTCTGCCTTCACAGCCCAAGAAGTCAGGCATTATCAAGACACTCTTCCTTAGGGCAGAAAAACAGAGCTGGGAAAATGAAGGTGCTGGTCCTACAGCTCTATAATACAGATTCATAAGAAAGATCATATGCCTCTATATGGGGAAAAAACACATATGAGAGGAAAGACACTGCTGACTATATGGAGCTCAAATTATGAAAAACACCTCAGTGAGTGAGACTAGAAAAGATTAGATACTGTAAGCCATCCAGAAGAAACATGGCAGATGCAAATAGTAAAAAAAAAAAAGAAAGAAGAAAATAATTTTCTATCATCTTCTAGCTATCTTTTGCAACTTGTTAGTATTTCTAAGTGGCTGTCCCCCCTTTCTGATAAATACTGATGCATGAGCTACAACTTCTGCCCACAAAGCTCCTTCTGACAGTTCTATATCTTTATTTCTGAGAGGAGTTCTTATTGAATAGTTCTCTCCTAAAAATAACTGATTTTTTTTCTATTTATGAATGTCAGTTTTCTCAGAAAACAAACTGATCATACAGAAACAGAAGGAAAAGAAAAAAATGAATCTTTATTCTAGGTAACTTAAAAAAACCTTTCTGATTTTGAAAAGCTATAGGGGGTTCAAAACTGAGTCACTGAACTGTTTCTACTACTCCTCTATATTTTCTAAAGTAAATATTAAACACAATGATATCTTTAAAAAATAAGCCAAGCAACAAAGAGCCCTACAAGAAGTGCTGGCATTTCTACCTTTCAGTTAGATTTAGAATGACCCATAATAAAAGCTTATCATTATTACAAATGTATTACAAATATTACAAAGTATGCAATAATTTACATTATTTCTACATCAATGTGGTAAGACCCACACATTTTAATGGATTCTCTATATATCAGAAATAACTGCCACACTGGGGTCTTGCCTGTACATATTCTAGTCTGCATTTAATCTACTTAAACCTCCACAAGCCTATTCCTGAATGTAACAGCTTAACCTTCAGTACATTTGGATTCCTTGTTAAGCGATGCAATTCTGGTCATAGTTCACTAGATGGTAGCATAAAACTTCAGTTCAGGTACTTTGGTCTCCTACTTGTAAAATTTGGCTTGTTTTCTGAGGCCATGAAATGTTTTATGCACCTCTACCAATGTCAGTAACAGGTGAATTTTACCAAGAAATAATTTCCTCCACAAGATTATATAAGCTTTCAATTAAATAAATATTCCAACTCTATTCTGTAGGAATTATTGCTGAAAGTTTTTATGTAACAATTTATTTTTTTTTTATGCTGGGAGATGTAACTAAAATACAGATAAAAGTTCTTATTAAAATTCTGCCATACAAGTCCAAAAAACTTTGAGAAATATTCTTTTCAAAGTATAATTTTATCCTGAAAATTGAATCTGGAAATATGTCTCTGCTGACCACTATTTCATGACACATTTTTCATTTTTAAAAACAAATAAAGAAATTCTTCCACTTCTTTTCTTTCTCTGTTGGTTTGCATTTCTGCAATGCTGAACACGTAGCCTGAGATTCTTTCCTAAGCATTGTCATCAACAAGAACAGGGCTACCAGCAACTTTCTGTTTTTCCTAATACCTGTTCTGCTTCATTGTTTGATGAGGTTTGCACCAAGGTAACTGGCTCAAATGAACAACTCTTGTTCATTGTCTAGGATATGTTGGTTCTACAAAAGTAAAAGTACTGATTTACTATTTAGTAACTACAATGAATTTGATAACTATTTCTTCTCCAGAGAGGTTTGGTGATCTGATTCAGAACATATGGACAGAGGAGATCTTCTGAAGTACCAGTTAGAGTTACTTCATCAGAACTAGAATAAACTCATATGTTTATTTTATGAAATACCACTTCCACCACCAAAAAACCAACCCATTCCAAAAACAAAGCACCACCCCAGCTAAACCAACCAACGAGAATCCCGTAAGACATCTAAAGGAAAAAAATCAAAAGGTAAGATACTTAGAGGAAAAATCAGCTTCAATTAAGACCAGAAAAATGTCACCATTTACTTCAAAGGATACATCTACTAGGATGAACTCGCAACTATTGTAAGTGGTAAAATAGCAAAGAATTAAATCTGGAAAAAATGGCAGCATAAACTGTTTCACATACCTTTTTCAGGTCTATCTACATAATTTTTTTCCTCTCTTTGGCTGAGTGTATGTTTGGATCTCATCATGATAAAGTTGTTCAGATCAGAATCATCATTGTCCCATTTTGTAGCAAGTGCAAGTGATGCAGGCTTTTCACTACAGGATGAGCTGTGTACTTTAGAAGATACACCTTTCCAGCTGACTGATTCGGATGGTTTGGGAGTTTTCTTTTCTTGGTTTAGGAAACAAATTTCCTCTTCTACCTTAATCTTCCTGTTGTTTCCTCCAGTAAGCTCTCCCCCAGATGTATTTGTGTTGTGAATTTTGGCAGATGACACAGCACTCATAGGCAGGGCAAAATACTGCCTTTGAGTCTGCAGTGACAAGTCAGGATTTACTACTTTGTCCGGCTGGTGTCTTTCAGCAGAAAGCAGCTCTTGGTTTATCACAGAATTCTCTTCAAGCCATTCTGAAAAATAAAATTGAATTTATTCACTGCAATATAGACCTTTTTCTTTTCTCTCTTCTGGTTGGAGTTAATGACTTTGGATGGTTTATAGAAAAAGCATTTTTTAAATTTCTTCTTTCTGTCTTCTCAGATCATTAAAATCCACTTTTAGAAAACTTGCACTGACTAGTCCAAAGTAAAAATGCACAATACTGAGACACAGAAGGTCATGCTATTGTTTGAAGAAGTTTTCACCATGGTGTTTACTGATGTTAGATTTCTAGGAAGTGGAATGCAGTACCTTTCATAAGGAAGAAAAATTATCAGATTTTTTATTTTTAGAGGGAAAAAAAGAAGTAATGAATGCAATCTGCTCCCTCTGAAGATATGTTTCAATAGAACTGCAATTTTTTGCATTATGGGTGTACATCTCAAACACAGTAGCTAAACACTTAAAAATATGTAAAAAGCAGTTACTTGGAACTGTTCTTTCCTGAGCAGTGTCTATTTGTTTCACCATATATCATGTTACTGTCAATCCTTGGAGTGCTACAACCACAACTGATGCCTTGCAGTCCAGCCACAGTTACATAACAAAATCCAAATAAGGTTTTGCATTTTTTGTTGAAGTTCGATTATAAGTATGCAAAATGGCCCACGAGAAATTCTGAAGTTATGAGGCGTTCAAATTTGAAACCATTGTCAGCATAAAAAAACCTCTGTAGCATCACAAAATAAATAGTTTTCATTGTAATACACACTGGCTTCTGCAGACGGGACAATGTGAGTATCTGCTTTATTAAAATACTCCAATGCAAAACTACTATTTGTTAAGAAATTCTCCCGTATGAACCTATTTTATTAAAAAATAGTATGGCTGGTGGCGGCTACTCTTCATCTGCATGGTAATAAATTTGTGTACTTAAACACTTTTGTTCCTACGATTTGTTTTAAGTTTGTGAAAGTACACCTTAATTGCAGTAGTGTTGCTACTTCATTTTGCTGTAAAACATTTTATTCTCAAAAATAAGAAATATTTACTTTGTTCTTGGAGATATGTAACTATCACTGCCTGATTCTCTGATTAAGTATCTATCTTTGCCTTTCTATCACTTTTTTTAAAAAAAGAAGGTACTTACTTTCTAACTGATATGATGTAAATTGTGTGAATTTTTCTATTTCTGTAGGAATTAAACTGTTTGCATTACTGTCATCCATATTTAATTGCTCCAAAATTTCTGTGGCTGCTGGATTTAAACCCAAATTAAGCCACCAGCCCTTCTCTAGAGAGCTAAGCATTGGTGCTTCTATCTCAACTGGTAGCATTTCTTGCAGTTCTGTCAGTGAATGATGCTGAGGCACAAGGTTAACAGTCTGATGCTCTACAAAAACCCAGAAATAACGTGTAATATTAATAATCTAGAAACATGAAACAGAATGTAATTTTGTAAATAAAAGCTCCCAAGTATTGTGACCTACTATATATATCCATATATCCATTTTTTATACTTCCATTTGTAACTCAGTGTCCATGAACAGATTAAAGAGTAAAGCAGTTGACATTATCAGAGCAAGAGTACTTTTTACTTACTGATCTGTGAGTAAGGTCAGGTGGGGGTTTAAATTTTTCAGATCTAATAATGTGTAGCTGCATTATTAAAATTACAAATTATCTTGTTCATTATGTATGGGTTTACTTATCCTGCTTACAAAGACTTATCAGAATCCTTACCTGAAAAAAAATGAACTGGAGTAGTAAGGAGCATACTGTACATTATTTTCAACTGTAAATCAATGTACAAATGAATTGGACAACATAACAAGTCAATACACATAACTTAATCCTGAAACTTGTAAAATGAAGCAAATAAAATGAAATGAAAGAATAATGGTAATTAATATTCTGGTGCTGTCATAAATACCTTGCAGCTTTTTTTGGTTTTGTGTATTTTGCTTCCTAACACGAACTCTGCTTTTGTGAATTTATAACATTATTTTCCATTAACCATACTATTCTATTGATTAATACACTTTTAAAAACATTATTTAAGGGAAAATAGTACGCAGAAAAGAGTTCAACAGATTAACAAATTTCTACCAAACTGTTACTACAGTTATTGTATATAATTAGCAGTAGTGAGCTGAACACTGTCATAATAAAATAAAACTCTTATTTCATTCAAACTACCTCCACAGAAGGGTACATGACATGCTGACTTCTTTGTTGCCATACTGTAACTTTTTATATGCACTAAAAGAATCAGATAATCCAAACTTCAGAGGCTTACATTAATTGGATAATTTTCAGTGGCCCAAACAAAACATGTGCTCTGTAATATAACATTATCTTTTCTGCTGTATTTCTCTGTGTACATGGAACTTGTTAACATCAATTAGAAATCCTTACCGACAAGCAAAAGAGAGCTCATATTATCCCGATACTTCTCTGATTGCCATACCAAAGAGTCTAAGTATTCCCTAGAGGGCCCTGCAACCAAAATACTACAAAGAACATAAAAAAAGACTTGCAGGATTATCTGTTGAATTTTGATTCATATAAAACTACCTTTTAAAGATCTACTTTGTCTTTAAATTTTCAGTTAATTCATTCATTCTCTCGTTCATCAAAATTTTTCTTCTTATCCATATAGAGGAAACAGGAAAGAGTGAGAGGACCCATCAAGCTGATTCATGAACTAAAGTGGCACAGAGTGAGAATTCTGTCAAGAGTGTTGTTCCCACCCCAAGGGGATATTTAAATTCTTTGTGCATATGTGAGAAAGATAGCAAGGCAAAAAATTCTAGTCTCAAAAACAAGATGAGAAGGAAAAGATGAAGCAATCCTAATCCTGTGTCAGCATGAAAAGGCCCAAACCCCACTATTGGAGGATATCCCCAAAACACAGACAATACTTTCTTCCTATATTTCTTCTGGAGATTTTGAAGGTGATACTTGTGCAATGTATTTTCCATATTTATAAATGTATACATACACACATATACACACTTGCTAAATACATAAGTATTTACTGTTGCCTACTTCAAAAAGGAGACTGCATTTTCAGGGTATTAAATCTCTCCAGAGAAAGAGGTCTACAGAGGCGACTGTCATTTCCTTTTTCAGGCTCCCCTGAAAAGCCACGGATACGGCCTGTGCACTCGATCACTCTTTCACACAAAACACAGTATATATGCAGGTCAAACAATTTAAGTATTGATTCATAATAGGCTAAAGTTATTTTTTCAATAATTTTGAGGATTTATGATTTAGAGGATTTATGATAGAATTTGTCACTACCAAAGTTTCATTACCTGCTACCAGAGAGAGGAAGAAGTTCTTCCTGAAGTCCTCTGCACAGAAAATTAACCCATGAACTTTGTTGTCTGCATGGAGGAGTTAAAGGCACTTCCATTTCATCTTTCAAATATGGAATATATTCAGCTAGAAATTACATAATGTCCCAGCCAAAACAAAAATAAAAAATCAAAATCACAAAGCTACCTTTGAATGAAATACACATGCTTATGAATTTTATACTAGTGAAATTTTGGATTAAACTACAAAATATTTTCATAGGACAATTCACTGTTTAAGCTCCATGCCCCAAATACTTCACATCCAATTTCCAGACAGTTTGAGGATAACAATGTGTAGATTACATTTCTTTAATGTAATTCTGGCTGCATACTTTTCACATGTAAGATGATTTTTATAATTAAATCATCAGGTACCATGGCTGAGGTCTTGATATTAGGCATTCATGCCTGTTGGTCTTCTTAGATGCTTCCCCCATAAATGAAGTAAATTAGATGGGAGAGAGACTTAGGCTAATGTTATAGTGGCTGTAAGATACAGATTACTGGACTCAGGAACTTCAAAAACAGTCAGGATTTTAAAGACAAAATTACTCTTTCAGGTGGAATTTGTATGCATTGAAATTTCTAGGGATGACCACTGAACTGAACTACCACATCTGTTTTTTTAAAGCAGTATGTAAACAAACCTGGCATGTTAAAAGTTCCCTGCAAGTTACTTTTAACTTTTTTTTTTGGCAATTGTATCACATGTGGACATATTGATGGATTATTTATTGGGTTTTATCCAAATCAAATTAGGAATTTGCAACTTCATTGATTTTGGTGTCATTTCATAAAAACTTGTGGTTTACATTAATGTCCTAGAATTCTTCTCTCTGGCATTCTTCTAATCAGAAAGCAGAGGTAACAAAAAACACAGTTGTTCTATGGTCTGTGAAAACTGTCAGAAAAATTTTAAGTAAACCAGTGCCTCTGTAAGGAAAAACATTTGTAACAAATTCCCTATTCATTCTAACAGGTAGCAAGCAGATGCAATCCTCATACACACGTTGTTTGGCCAGTTGGCACACAGCAGGCTATGAATCAGTCACCTGTCCAGCTGCTTACAGCTGCTTCTTGAGTGACCTAAAAAGCTGATTGTATGTCAGGAAGGGTAAGGGGCAATGTTAGAAAGCCAGAGAACACACATACCTATCAGAGAAGCAGAAAAAAAAGGTAATAAATAAAAGTGGATACAAAAGAAAATAACATACATCTAACCAGTATAATTTCTTTCCCATTTACTTAGAACAAAAAATAGCTCCGTGAACTCCTGCTGTGAACTTCAGCTCACAAACCGTTTTTGATGGGGATAAACAATTTACGCACATTACTTTGAACAGGATAGGAGCTAATCTCAGGACAGCAAAAATACCTGCCATATCTAAAAAGAACAATTCTTTCTCTTTCAGCAATACTATTAACATTAATTCTTGTCTAGTTATTTTTGCCTTTAAGATTGGAATATTTTCATCAGCTACATTAGATAAACTCTGCTTACACTCAGAGATTCATTGATGACTTAGTGAACTCTCTTGTCTCTTAAGCCCTTTATCAATAAACAGATCCTATTCCTAGCAAGAGAGAAAGGCAAACAATGAAAGGTTTACAGAAAATGCCATTATATTATCACTGCTTCTCCTCTGAGTTCAAGCACACACATTTCACTTCTGGTAACTCATAAACAGCAAAATCAATTAGAACAAGAAGACTGTCAGGTATCTCAGCTGAAATTTGACACCCAATATAGAAACTTCCATTACCAAGTGGTGTCTTAGCAGTGCATGTACAGGTTTGTAGGTCTCTATCCTATAGATCTGAGTCTATCCTAAAAAAAAAAAAAAATAAGATGGAAGCTGATTGTGCCCTAACAACTTAATTTTGCCTGATGCAATGGCAGAGCTAAGGCAGCAAACTGGCAATAAAGATTAATGTGGTCACTTTCTTGAAAAAACAATTCAAAATGATTTGACTTCTTACATCAGCTCCAGTAGAACAGACAACATCCTAGAGAAGATCAAAGTCAACTTGTCACTATTGCGTACAGGAGGAAGGTCTCAAAATGCTTAGACCTACTACACTTAAGCTCCTCCTATTTGTAAGCCTTAGAAGTAAAGAGCAGTCAGACAGTTCATTAGACCCAGATTAGTTTATCATGCTAGGCAATAACCTCCAGATGGAAAGTAAGTTTAACTTTGTCTTGGTGGAACAACACATGGTGGGTTTGCATTGAGCTTTTATATCAGACCCTTTGAACAGATATGATTGCTCCAACCAAAATTCCACTGCAATACAGTATCGGGAGCATGATCCTATTAGCCTGCAGAGGACAACTATCAGTTCAGTTTAAAACACATTGAAATGAAGACAATAAGGGGGCTCTTGATCTGGAGAAAACAGAAGATTTCTCAAGGATTTTAGTAACTGCTGGATGGAAAACTATCAAGTGAACATGCACTGGTTACTGATAATACTGCTGCTGCCCATGGCAATAATGGATAGACTTTTTCCTGGATAGGATATACGTTAGGACGAGAGGTACATATATATTCAAGCATTGCCACTCTGCTCAGATCACATCCATTTATAAATGTGACTCTTTGCACAGGCTCTTCTGCATTAAATTAAAGGTGAAAAATGCCACCAGTATAGCCATTTTTCTGTCTCACTTCACCAGCCAACATTTAGCTGGAAATACAGTTGGGCTGGCAAAGAATATACATTATTTTCAAAGGTTACACCTGGAACCTGAAGAAATTTTATCTAGGGTTGGATAATTAGGTTGCACAGTCACACACCAAACCTGCCCAGCATTGGTATGCACTGTAAACACCATGACTTGAATTTTCAAGCTATTAAAGGTGGACACATACAAAGGATTTCCAAATGCCAGTGAAGGAGAAGCAAGGATTTAATGCACACATTAGCAAATATTCAACACTTCCAGTTTATTTCTGTGGAAAACAGCTCTGCTGACTACATGACTTGATCACACATCATTACAGAACTGTTTGCAAACCAGAATGTCTGCACAGGAGCTTTGAGCCGCTAGAAGTTATTAACTCAGCACTTCTGCCTGGATTGTTCTCCACCACCCTATTTTGAAAGCATTTATATTAAACTTTAACAGTTTTTGAATTTCATCCTCCCTCTCTAGGTAGATAAGTTGCTAGATAAAAAAGATCCAAAAAGCCTATCAAATGCAATAGACATCATTTGCAGCCAAAAGCAACATGAGGGAACTGTAAAGTTGGTTGTTTAGACTATAAAGCTCTGGAAAGCAGTGTGGCACTTCTACCTCCTTATGGTGCAGGTAAAAAATAGTAGATTACACAAAGAGAATGTTCTTATCTATACAGTGCATGTCCTCCTACGAACAGAATATAAGAACAATCGCAAAGAATTTATTTTAAATATCACCCCTTGATTTATACAGATCTTCCTACCTGACTCACAGAATTCCAGCATACTTGTGCTATTACTGGAGCAAGCCTCTTGTGGAATGGGGCAGTACTTGGAAATTTCTATGTTGTATGTAATTTCTGCTTTGAGATCTGAAAACAGATTTTTAAAGGTGCCATAAATTAACCATTTATTACATTTTCCTGTCAGAGCATTTTTTGCTTTCAATCTTATTATTGAACCTCCATGATGTATTGTTATGAAAAATCACAGTCATGCTTAGTAACCCCAAATGCTGTAGCTGATAAGAGCAGTGCTTAGTCTTGTCCCTTAAGTGACAGAAACCCCCCACAATCTTGTATAATCACTATCTGAATTATTCCAAGCTCTTATGACTACAGTGATTTCCAGAACAATTAAGCAGCCTAAATATAGTTTGCTGGGAGTTTGTGTATGTAGATTCTTTTGCTACTAAAAAAGAATGAAAAACCCCAGTAGGTTGACATTTATGTACAAACTCCTCAAATATCTGCAGCAGAGGTTGGGTCATTCAGCTCAGAACATGGCATGTACTAAATGTATCAGAAGAATGCAAATCAAACCACCCTAGTCAAATATACACTTTTAAAAGTTTTGTTCCTATCTTCAACAAGAGACTGGATTATTTCAAACTGGTGCCCTATCAAACAGAATTCAGCACACACTCTCCACATTCAGAAGCACGAATCTTTCTTCTTTGAGCTGCTTCCTGCCCACCAAAAAAGTGGAAATATATTAATTTTTGACAAAAAAGAACACAACAAAACCTCAGGTAATGTTTTTTTCTTTTAACTACACGAAATACTGTCATACAAATCAGTCCATTAGTCAATAACTGTCATTAAAGTTGTATTTATCCATCACATAAAAGCATTTAGAAACATTTCTAAAATGTCTTTAAAAAATGACTACTGTCATTTAGAGTATTCCTGTTATCCATGGAAATATTTAACCTTTTTGTCCTCAGAAATCTGCTTTTGTGTTTACAATTACAGTGCAACAAAAGCATTTTTTTACAGTATGATTGTACTGCATATAATCCTCTTAGGGATGTCTCTGAAAGTAAATTTAAAAACAGATAGGAAAAAGACTAAATTATTATATTCATGGTAGGTTTTATAGCACAAATCATGGCTCCTTTACATTTGTTTCCAAGATTACAACACAACCATGGATTGAACCAAATGGTGAATAGTTTACTACCCCTTGAGGAGACATGTACTCAGAAATCTGGGTATAGCATGGTTCATAGTCTCACCCAGAGGAATTCTCATTTGATAGGCTGTGATGTAACTCAAAAGTGAACTCAATATAAAAGAGCCAAATTGTGTTAAATGTGTTCAAATGAAAAGAAAATCAGGTCAAGCATTTAAGAAAACCAACCCTCACGTTCTTTGATCACTTCTTTGCACAGGTCTTCATCAGCCATAGTGTCTGAGGCTACATTTAACAACTCGTTCAATTCCAAGTATGATGGAATCTTAGCAGAATCAGATCTGCCATTGCCAGGTTTGCTGAATTCTAACTCAAGAGGCAACATGAAATACTGAAAAAATATTAATCACAACAGAATGGTCAGTAAATCCCCTTTGATGTTACCATATAGTCAAAGCTTTTTCAAAATCTTGAAATAACATAATTCTAAACCAATTTCAGAGCTTTTAGGAGATAAATCACATGACATTTACACAGTATACACAAAGCTTTGCTCAATACAGAGTAAATACAGTGTTATAGAATTTCAGATTGAGTCAGTGGAGTGTAGAGAGTGTGTCTGAACTTTCAGTTCCCAGTCAAGTAAAATCATTTACTTTACTGAAAGTTTGTGTTTTAGAATTTTGAAAAATGAAGGAAAAAGTAGATTTGACTTCTTTTTAAAAAAGAAGCAAAGCTGGCTCCCCAAATCCTGAAATATATCTTGGAGCTTTCCCTTTCCCATGCAAGCCATGGCTTCCTGTTCTGGTTAATTTGTATTCTTAGTGTAACAAGTACCTACAGTGCCAGCACATCCAGAAGCAGGAGAAACAGCTGATCAGAGTGGAAACTCCTAACAGCACCATCCAAGAATTAAAAAACCAGGAATAAAAGCAGTGTTTCCTAACCTTGGAAATATGAAGGCTGCAAATACTTTGCAAGTATGAAGAGAATTCAGTAAGATGACTTGCAAGTGAACAAACCCCTATCCAAAACACAAAACAACAACTAATATAATATATAGGATGAAAAAACAGGATGATACCTCTTCCTCTTTTATAGGTATAGTACAGAAGTTCTCTTTAATCTCCTGCAACTCATTTTTACTCTCTTCCATCTTCATTTCATTTTGGAAAATCAAACATTCTCTTTAAAAGATCATAAAAGAAAGTAAGCGACTTCTTTGTATTACTTCATGTCTAAGACTGAAAGTCTTAGCAATAGCTTTGATAGCCATACACATGGTAAAAAGTTATTTTTCTAAATCCATGCCTTTTCTAAGAAAGCAATTCCAAGGGATGCGGTACCGATCTGTGGAATTAACCAAAAGTATTTTTCAAGAAATAATATATTACATGCAGAGTAGAATCACTTAATACTGGGACCTGCCTTAAAAAGTTACAGAAAAAATCCCTCATATTAAAATTGTTCAACACCCATAACATAAGTGTTCTCATGTGAAAACACTTTCTGCAAAAGCTGCGGACCTAAGTTTCTTCCAATGTCAAATTTTTTTACTGTATATAAAATCTCTGTAATCTATAACACTGACCTTATTTCACTTTTGCCTCCTTTAGTTTCTATTTTCAGGAATGATTCAGCACCAGTGAAGGCAGAGTGTGCTTATTATTAATCAAAATGACAACCAAAAGTACATTCCCTGGTTTAACTGAAAAACTTTCAAAATGTTTGGAAGTAAAACTCAGTAGTGAGGCTACTACTTGCCTTGCGAAGTAAGGATACAAGCAGAAAAGGGATGAAGATTTTTCAAGCAGAAAGAAAAGTTTTCATCAGGCTTGCCACTCATGGCCACTACACTAAAACTACAATGACTTCTCAGAGGATAACTTCCTCCTCAGTCCCTGACACCACTATTTTCCTGAAGGAATACTTTGGACTGAAGAGTACAAATTATTCTATGCCCAGCCTTGGGATGCTAACTGAATTTTACCTTAAGTAGAAGTCTGTTTCATTATATGTCTTTGTTTAAATGCCTCTCCCTGTGTGCTGCATGAGGAGATTTGGGCCCCTTCCTTGGGGAAGTTCGTGGTTTTGCTAGTCAACCACAGACCAGGAGGTCAGCGCTGTTTCAGTAAAGATTCACACTAGCACTTTTTATGCCATTTCTGAAAGTAGTTGCAGAGTCTGGATCATGTTATCTTCACTGGATATTTACAGTGTTCACACATGCACATAGTCTTATGTCCGAAACTCAGGGTGAGATTAAGGCTCATTTTAAAAAACAGGCCAACAACCCCACTCCTCCCTGTTCTGCTGCTATATAGGTACAGTTAAATCAGTTAAAATTTGCCTTATCTTTCTTGGGAATCATGTAACCCTACCAAGTGCAAAGGAAGTGATATAAGTCATCCAGACAGGAAGTAAATCATCAGAAAATTCAGCCAGACTTTATGAATGCATGTATACAATGAATATATTTAGGAAATATTAGGCCCATTTCTAATACAGTTTACACCAGTTTAATGTATCAGTTAGTTCAAAATCATGACATTAGACATTATTCAACTAAATCCAATCAACTCAGTAAAATGAAAGTGAGCAAAACCATAAAATAAATAATATTTGAATGTGAAGAAATACAATTGAACTTGAAGAAATACAATCCAACAGCGTAAGAGCATGGATTTGCTGACAGCACGACTGAGATGACAGAAAGAAGGAACATGGAAGCATGTATAAAATCCTAGCCCAATTAAATTTAGAGGCATTTTACTGAGAAGGAATCAGTAAAATCAGTTTGAGGGAGGACAAGGTCCCTTAAAGATGTACATTTTTTCAGTATTCCAAAAGTAAAATCTTGAGTACACTTCACACTTACAAAATGCAAAAGTGACACAATTTCATTAATCCAGTTTTCTTAATGCATATAAATTTAATCTGACTCATTTTTTCCTAAGTAAGAAAAAAAGCTGAAGTCTTTACCTGTTGCAAATATAAACTAGTTACAAAGTTATAATTTAGCAGATGTTCCAATGTCATTATACACAGATTATTTTTTATGTTCAATATTATACATCAACTTGTAGGTACCTGAAAATGTTCTCTTCTGTTAAAATCTGTCCTTCAGAATCTAAAAGGGGATCTTTCACTAAAAAAAACTGTAGTCTGCTCAGAAGTATAGATAAAGTTGGCAGGTTTTTACGAAAATTTTCAAGATTATCAATAAAAGTAAATTCCTCTTCCAAATATAAATCTGATGAAAAATAAGAAAAAATACATCATAAAACAAGATAAATGTAATAATTATCAGAATAAAGAGAATTGTGGATCAACTTTTGGAATACTATAAGTGTCAGCAAAAAATAAGTACTTTTTGCTTTAAATATTTTAGAATTTTAAAGTTTTAAGTACAACAAAGTCTAGACTCCCAATGGTCCACAGGATAAGCTCTGGTTTTCTTTTCCTTTTTTTTTTTTTAATTTTCTTATACAATGCCTGTTAAAAAGAAAAGATATTTTCCTTTCTTTCCCTTGTTTGCATTTTCAACAAAGTACAAAGTTCTACATCTGGGTCTGGGCAATCTCAGGCCCACCTACAGGTTGGGTGGAGAAGTGACTGAGAGCAGCCCTGCGGAGAAAGACTTGGGGCTGATGATTGAAGGAAAACTCAACCTGGGCCAGCAGTGTGCACTCACAGCCCAGAAAGCCAACAGTGTCCTGGGCTACATTGAAAGAAACGTGGCCAGCAGGGCAAGGCAGGTGATTCTGCCCCCCTGATCCCCTCTTGGAGCGTTGTGTCCATTTCTGGGGTCCTTAGGGGAAAAAAGATATGGACCTGTTGGAGCAGGTCCAGAGGAGGGACACGAAAATGATCAGAGGAAAGGAACACCTCTCTTATGAGGAAAGGCTGAGAGAATTGGGATGTTCAACCTGGAGAAGAGAAAGCTCCAGAGAGACTTTACTGCAGCTTCTCAGTACATAAAGGGGGCCTATAAGTAAGATGAGGACAGATTTTTTGACAGGTTGTATTGCAATAGAACAAGGGGTAATGGTTTTAAACTAAAAGAGAGATGATTTAGATTAGATATTAGGAAGAAGTTTCTTACAGCGAGGGTGGTAAAACACTGGAATAAGTTGCCTAGACTGGTGGTTGATGCCCCATCCCTGTGGGTGCTCAAGGTAAGGTTGGACAGGGCTCTGAGTGACCTGAGCTGATTACAGGGCAGTTGGACTAAATGATCTTTAAAACTTTCCAATCCAGGCTATTCTATGATAATAGGATTCTATGGACTTTCTTCTGCGTTTAGATGCCACTCTCCTGACAGAACTGAGGCAGTAACTACATCCCCATTTGATGCAATCCCTTACATTTGCAATACAGAATACACAAATATTTACATGCACATTTTACATATAGATAATACACATAGAAGGGTAAAGTGATGTTCTTGTTCCCTCTTATTTTTTACCAACATGGAAGTATCCTCATCCCTACATCCTCCTTTCATTCCTTGGATGACTCCCTATCTGTAACAACCTTCCTTTCCTTCCTAGTGGCTGGAAGTTATAGATACTGATTATGTTCCCCTCTCTAACTGTTCTATGCTGCTGACTCAGATTCCATAAAGAAATCTATCAATTAAAAAATAAATGCCTCATTGTAAAATGCCTCTGTTTAATGAGATGAACAGTTCAGAAGAGGCTACTAAGGCTTCTAGGAGCCTATAAAGCTGAAAGTAGCTCTAATTAAAAAAAATTATATTTTTTCTGGTATGCTACAAAATCCTTGATCTATTCCTCTTCCTTTTCTTTAGGCAACCAGGAAAACAAAGTAGGAAGCACCTCAATATTCAATCAAATAGTGGTTGCAAAATTAGGTGCTAAAATCGATAAGAAAATAAAGACTACTTCAATGATCTAAACTTGCTGTCCTCAAATATCTAATTTAATTTTTGTTAACTCAAAGAAAGCTGGACAACTTCTAATATACTAACGTGAAATAAAGTCAAATAAGGCACAGCTTTAGCCTTGATTTGCATTTATTTTCCTAATTTAGCCATAGTTTTTATTCATTTTTTTATTATAAGGAGCTATAGTATCTAAAGTGTATGAAGAAAGGGGGATTTTTCCAATTAATCTAATTATTCTAATGTGATTAAAATATTTTAATTACTGCATTTCTTTGTTAATTTTAACACATTTTAACCTGTTACTCCCTATCTCAGGAAAGCATGTCTAAGCAAGTATGCACTTATATGTGTACTGAAGGGCCCTCCTGAAGTGGAACAGATACTACCACATACCTAACTGCTTTCCTAATATAGAATTTTACAACTGAAGTAACAGGTAGAGTTTGAAATTCACAAATTCCAGTGCTTGAAACTCATAGAAAACTGAGCTGACCTGCTACTTTATGATTCTAGGAAGTGCATTCCACATTTTTAAATATGCTTATTTTTCAGAATTGTGACTTGAATGCAATATCATCACTTTCTTTGATTTACAATACAGTTGAATCAAACACTTTCTCAACATTTGGTTTTCTGTGATCAGAATTTGTTATATCTATTAGGGTGCTACTAATCACAACATTTCAGAAAACACATAGGGACACTACCCAATTTGAACAATCACAGCAACAGACTTGAAAAATTCCAGCAACAAAGCGGAAACTGCTTACTTCTCATTCTGCTTGATGTGGTCAAAGAAAACGCTTCAAGGATGTAATTTTATTGATGTATAATGGATCATTATAATTTTGTTCAATTTCTGATATGATCTACTTATTGTGATACTTTTTTGGCACCTTCTTCCATATATTTGATCAGCCTGAAACTTCTTCTGGTTTGTATCTATCTTGAACTGCTAATACAAGCCCTGCTTCTCCAGGGAATTAATATGCCTTCAGTGGTCATACCTTAGGCAACTGCAAAGGCTTGTGATCATTCAGACAACTTCATCGATGCCTATGGAGCCCGCACAAAAAATTAAGGAAGTTAACAAGCTGATTCTACCACAATTTAGAAAACAGTGAATTAAACATTTTACCTTGCCATGGTTCTTTAAATTCAGTGACATAGTAAATCTTCAAATATTTTTCTTGGGTGGATTCTTCCTTAAAAACTTTATTCATAAGTAAAAAGGTTTCTTCTATATCAGTCTGAGAGCAGGGATTTGAACTTGGAATAACTTCCATTAATTCATTACTAATCTGGAGCTCTACAGAGGAGATAGGTTTCCTAAAAAACAGAAAAAAATCTGACACTTAAGCTGTTGTAAAAGTAATATCATAACTTCCCTGACTTCTCAGTGAATCAACAGCACTCATAAAGATACTCTAAGAACCCTGATAATCACTGTATTCACTGAAGAAGATTAGAAATTGTGGAGTTGCTGTCACTATCCACTGGATCCACGGTTCAATTACATGTTCAATTCTTTCCCAAGAAAAAACCCTTTAAGTTTACACCCAGCATTAAATTGAACAAAAGGATCATCATCATGGCTAGGCTTCGCGAACGAAGATTTGGGAAGGGCTCTACCGAACAAAAGGATAACAGCTGGAAAAGAGCATCAAACCTATCGATGTCACAGCATTTAGCGCAAAAATTTAAATGTATACTTTTTGTATTGGGTCTGGCTGAGCTGGAGCTCATTTCCCCACAGCAGCCCTCACAGTGCTGTGCTTTGCATTGGTAGCTAGAAAAGAGTTGATAACACATCAGTGCTTTGGTACTGCTGAGCAGCACTGGCACAGCATCAGCACTGTCTCTCAACATCCCTTCCCCTCTCTACATCGTGGGCAGGATCCTGGGAGGGGACACAATCAGGCCAGCTGACCCAAACTAACCAAAGGCATATTCCAGACCATATGACATCAGCTCAGATATAAAAGCTAAGGGAAGGAGGAGTGAGGGGGGCATTCGTTATTTACAATGTTTGCTTTCTGAGCAACTGCTCTGTGTGCTGAAGCCCTGCTTCCCAGGAAGTGGCTGGACATCACTCGCTAATGGAAGTAGAGAATGTTATTTTCCTCTTTGCTTGTGAGACTGCAAACTTTCACTTTTGCTTTAACAAACAGCCTCATCTCAATCTACGAGTAATTTTGCATTTTATTCTGTCTCCCCTGTCCAGCTGGGAAGTGATAGAGTGGTTTGGTGGGCACCTGGTGTCCAACTAAGGTCAACCCACCACACTTATGTTTCAAAAACCATGAAGAAATTGCAAGTAATAGCAATAGGAAAAAGACAGGATAAGTGAAGAAACAAACTCACTTCAATTTCCTGTCACTTTTCATATTAATCTCAATATTACTATTATTTCTTTAGGAAAAGAAAAATCAAACCATGTTAGACAAATAAATAGCAAAATCATTTGATTACAGGAAAAAACCAACCATCATAGTCCTGAGCTAAATATGCATCTGGACAAAAAGGTTGTAATTGTTAAAAAATTAAAATATATATTAGTGTTCTGTTATCCACATAAATTGACTGCAACAATATAATGGCTATAATTGATGAGTGCTGACATTTCTGAAGAACCTAAATCAGCTCATCTACACTTACTGAATTTATTATTCTCATTTCAGACAATGGATTTCTCAACTGTGCATCCTATTGATTTATGCATATTTTTAATAATACATTGCATTGCACCATCTTGCTATTTGCTAGTCCTCTAAAGGTAATTCGCAGATGAGTGCACCTCTGAATTTCAGTATAGGCCTTCATGTGTAGACAGCAAGACTTAGGAATCTCTGCTACACATCTTTTAAAAAATCAACTATTTCACAACATTTTGAGCATAGCTTAAAAGTTAATTTTGAAACTCCAGGTAGTATAGTTCACAAGCAATAACCATGCAGTACTGATAATAACTAATATCCAAACTTTCATATGGCATAAGCCTTTGAAAATCCACGAACCTTAAAACACTGCCCAGTTACATGTGGGCCAACTTCACTGAAATCAGTGGATTTCACTGTAGTTTTATAGATAGAATTCACTATAGTTTTATAGACAGAATATACCTAAGCGGAGTTGCTGATTTGAGACTACATGGGCCATCTTTTCCAAAGTAAAACCCTTAGTAAGGCTGTTCTGGAAAGCAGTAAATATTTTAAATGCAGACTACTCTAAGTATGGAAACATATGTTCAAGTCATGCTTGTATTATGCTTGTACAGTGTTCTGAACACAGAAAGAACTAGATTAGGTTTAATTTATTTAGCTTCAATTAGATCTTTACATTACGAAGCAAAACTTTCAGCAGTATCTTTGAAATATGGACAGTTGTGTTTCATCATCAAAATAAGCATAACTATTAAGTACATGCAATAAAGCCAATAAGGGGGTTTATCTAATTAAGTAATTTGGCAATTTCTAGGAATTACAGACTCACTTCCTTATCTCCTTTACTGCTAGGTGTCCTCTCACACCTGCTTAGGCAGTCAGTGTCTTCTTCTTAATGTTTTTCTCCTCTTCAGTGTTTTTCTCTCACTTGTTTCTTGTGCTCTTCTTATTTCTCACCCTCTCCAAGGAGACAGTAGGCTCCCTGTCACTTTGAACCAGTTTTTGCTAATATATCAAGCCACTTCACTGACCAATTTGATCAGTCATTCATGCTTACATTCCTGACTGGCTTACAAGAAGAGACACTTTAAAAAAATCACAAACCCCAAACCCCCAAGTTGACAAGCTTATTTCAAAATATCATTTCCCTAACCTAGTTACCTGAACATTTAGACACATAGAAAAGCATAAAAATTCTACACAAAGCCCCTACTTAGTAGTAAAACCTTATGCCTGCTGTGAAAACAGAACAAAGTCTCAAAAAATCTCAAAAGCCTCAAAATGTACTGAGCAGAGTCTTAGAACAGACTGTATTGAACCGTATGATAAGCAATCCAAAGATACTGAACTCAACCATATTACACAGCAGCACATCTGGGACATCCTTTGATAAATTATTATGCCAAACCATAAGTAAGTGCAGAATCTTTAAATTAGATAGTTATATTTTTTTTGTACAACTCCAGGACTACAGTTCTCCTATGAGTCACACCCAACAGTGAACAATGTACTCCAGAAAAAATGCCTACCATTGCTTGAGATGACAAAAGCAGAACATTTTAGTGCTTGTTCCTAATAATTTTTGAAAAGATTCTAGCATCTTATTTCCTTTCATCTGTTGGTTTTGACTATTAGAAAGAAATTAGTGTTATCTACGAATTTACTTGTTACATTACTCATTCCCTGTTCCTTGCTAAGGATAAATCTATTGAATAACATTTACTGTAGGTCACTTTTCAAATATCCAAAACAAACCATCTACTGTATTTATTGCACACTTTTTATATTTTTTGTGTGTGCGTTTATGTATTGCTTTGCTAATACTTCTAACGATTTGTGATGGATTATGTGTACTACTACTGCTTAGTCCTACCCCCAGGAAAACCACTATCATAAAACACGTAAGAATTTAGATTCTCTTTCCTTACCTTAAAAAAACGCAAAGCACTTGAAGAATCTGAAGCAAATACACATCCTCTCCTCCTAAGTTTAACTCCCTGCTCCTTATTTGCCTGTCTCAGTTCAAGCAACTTTTCACTGGTACAGAGATCTGGTCCACTTTGTTTTACAATATATTAAGTGAAATCGTCTCAAATTTTCTGTAGCTGTTGCCTACCATGTGCACTGATTTTCTGCATTTTATTTAGATGTTATAACTAACTTATGTGCTAAAACAACAGGTAAATGTTGTTTGGTCTGACAAAATTCTTAATTCTTGGCATTTAATACTCCTTGAGATGGCACCTATCTGACTCCTCAAGTGCTCACTGTTGATATCTAAATCACACTGCGTCTTTATAACAACTTCTTCAGGATCTGCTTTTTCTTTTATTATTACTAGTCTAGACAATGTCTTGGGTAATATCTTTGCATGAGTTTTACAGCATCCTCATAATATTTATCTCACTCTCTGAAGGTGCAAAGATGATTATATCACATATAATAGTCTTGTTTTTTTCTGAAGATACAGAATGTAATTTCAATTGTATTTCAGTGCACCAAATTAAACAGACATCCACATCATTTTGTGCACAGCCTTAATCCACTCTATGAGCATGACCATTTCTGTGACATGAATGAGCAGAGGGCTATGCCCAATTAGTATATACCAAGGAAATTAAAGACTATCATATTGAAATCACAGAAGAGTGCCACTGTAAGGTATTGGGAAGCCTGGCACTGGCATTTTCTGTAAATGATTATTTAATTCTTCAATCATAAGTTTTCCTTACAACCAGATTTTTAATGCAGATTTGAAGGTAATAGAGATTTTAGGTAGCACTGTAAAAGCACAGATGTAATTTCTCTGTTTCTTTCACACTGGTAATTGAAAGCAGAAATACACACAATTTATTGGTTTTTGCAGAATCATAATCGTCTTTCACGGCTAATATATTCTGGAAAGATCTGTTGCAAGCGTGTTTTCAAAATTAACTCAGTTTCAGAGTTCATTTGATACTTTTGACTTTGTATATAACATTTTAAAATAAATATATCTATATTTAATTGCTATAATATAAGCTTGACTTTTTCTAGCTGCCTTTTACACCTTTTCAAAGATTTATAAATACCCTTCTTTGAAAAACTTCATCTGCAGTTACAAGAGATAACGGTCTCAGCAAAAGGTGCTTGTGGTTTGTCTTCATGTTCATCAATAGTTTCCAGAGACTTTCTCCAATGTCATAAATAGATTATACAACCACTAAAAAAATTATATGAAGAAGTGGTGAACTCCATAAAACACAATACTACTTTTAGTGAAAAAGCCATCTTCAAGCTATTTGCCACAGCGTACATCTCCAGCACACTGTACACTTGCTACTGTCAGAAAACATTTCCATATTCTGTTATCATCATTAGCTTATGGTTCACAAAGTACCTGAATGATATCAGAGAAATCACAAATGTTTTTAACTTAAGTTTACTGACTTTTCCAGGAAATCCTCCACAGGTAAGCTTTTCTTCCATTGATCCAACACTGAAATAGTGATCACGTTCTGTGTTGAAGTAACTGAGACAAAAAAGAGAGAAAGAGAATCACACAGAAAATTTTAAAATTAATTTTTATTTCTTGATCAAACCATTGCAGAGGCTAAACAAACTTTACACAAGATGCATAGAAGAAACAACACTTTTAGTTTCCATTAGCAAAAATAATGCAAATACACCAGAAAGATGTGAATACTTTCATACACGTTTACCTTTGTCATTGGAAACCCTCATTTTTTTCCCCATCTCACAACCTCAGCATCATCTTTTGAACCTCTCCCAGCTTATCAGACTTAGTATTTCACTTATCTCTGATCATTGATATTCTTCCATAACCACTTCTCTGGACAGAAACTTTTCCAGAGGTCTCTACAGACTAATCAAATATCACCCTCATTTATGAGGGTCATTGTGTATGCCATACACAAATAAATATCCGTTACCCATTTGTTTCTACATAGGCAATGAATATGTTCTACCTTCAAGAGATATATGAACTGACATAGTGCTACTTCAGGAAATTATTTTTTTTTAACCAGACTTACCATATTATGGACAAACACAAGCTTTTCCTTTAATCCACAGTAAATCTAAATTAAAACTTAAGGATTATATAACCTACCTCTAGTCCATGGCTTCCTATACTTATCATCAGTGAAGAGTCCTGTGAGATGATACTTTTCATCTTGATATAAACAGGGAGGAAAGCAAAGTGATAATCTCCAGATGGAAAACTTCTGCCTTGCCATGCTCTGCACAAAAAAAGACGTGATAAAATTATGAGAGACAGGTCCATTCTTTTTGTGCACCTCTTCAAACATTCCCACTGTTTTCAAGTGTTTTCTCCTATAACAGGATTTTTTATCTTTAAACCTTATTATTTCTGTAATACTGACCCAGTCTAAATTAAGAGAAAAAATTAACATTTACCTGACTAGCTATTTAACTATTAATCTACACCTCTGCATATGCAAACCTGCACATATGCTTAGCTACACTTTAACTAAACTTTGTATGTGCAATTGGAAGTGTTTATCTTAACACTTGCAATGGTCTTCTAAATGGATACATGATCAGAAACAATTTAAAATCATTCCTACTATTGCTGTTTCAAGTACTTTTAATATTCTAAAGCATCTCATCTTTCATGTGCTGTTAGGAGCTAATAAAAGCCCTTTTAAGTCCTTTCATTTTCACTAAAAACAGGGGTACATGGTAGTAATCAATTGAATTCTAGAATTAAATAGTTGATGTGGCAACTTCAGTAACTCTTCACTGAGGACCAAGTTCAATGAACTAAGAGTTCTTTCGTCACAGAAGTGTGACAGTACTGTATAAATAGCACAGAACCACAGAACAAGCAGTTTGTTCGGGAAGCAGAGAGAAATTATTTTTACACAGGGTTTTGTATTTAACAAGTTTATAGCTTAGAAAGAAGTTGTCCTCAAAAACTGTGGGGTGTAAAAAGCATACTGGAAGAGGCAACTAGCTACAGACATGCGGGACAACATAATGAATGAGACTAGTAGCTTCTCTCTAGTTCTAAGTCCATTGCCTCACTTCAGCTGTGTTGCTTCAGTCCAAGAAATGTCCACCCATTTCAGCATATGCTGTCAAGCCAATTATAGCTTGTAGTGTTAGACATCCCAGAAGTACTCTTAGGTTAAAGGAGAATGACATGGTACTGTAGAAGTAGAAGCTACTGAACAAAAAATATAAACAATAATACAACAGAGATCAGACAGAAATTTTAAGCACAAGTATGTAGTTTTACGGAGGGTAACTTTAGCTAAAGTTGTTTTCTGTCCATGATGTTTGTGAAGTGGAACAAATACACCCAAGGGCTATCATCACAGGTAACAGCCTTAAACCAGGAAAACTGTGCATTTTACAAAAGAAAAAAATTGTTCTAAGTATAAAAGTTAAGATGAATTAGTTCATTTTATAAAGTCTGATAACACACAACCTTTCTTGCCTGTCTCAAATATATAAAAGTGTTTTTCAAGACCATTATTAATGGCTATGGCATTTAATCAACACATGTTTACCCCTCTTTCTTACGGAACTGCAGAGGTCTCCACAAATTTCTGTTCTAACTGTAAGATGTTATGTGCAGTTTTATAGTTCCATACAGCTTGCATGTATTATCAGTTTACAATATTAGAAAACCTTGAACTTGTAAGATGACTTTGTGATCACATCTACAACACTTGGTGCAATGAAGTACCTAACTCTTGCATTTCTGATGACTGAAAAGGCTCCTTTCTTCAAAGATACACTTCTAAAGAGCAGCTGGAAAAACTATATCTGGAATTGATATAAATGCATAACAAGTACACTAAGAGCAGGATTCCACATCCAGTTGAGCCACATGTGGGCAGGAATCAGTTTGATATAAGCTCATCAAATTCCAGGATTTCCTAAGAATTGGAAGCTTTATTCAAGCGCATTTGATACAGGAAAAATCAATATAACTTCCTCTAGAGAGTAGAAGCTAGGCACAAGAGTGGAATAAGAAGCTGCGGTTTGAGCATGGCATGTCCCTTGCACAGCCAGATCTGTAACACCTTTAAATGTGTGATCACATCCATTAACCCCTCCTAGTAGCATTACAGAGGAAGATTCACACTGTTCCAGAGTAGCCAGTCGGAAGGTTGCTCAGCATTTCCCTTCTAACAGTTTTCATTTGTCCTGCTGTCAGCCCTGTCCTCATCCTCAAAACTCAGGCAAGAAAAGCCATGTAGTTCTTCTCTTTCGCATATAGACCGCAACACATTGTGTTAATACATCTATTTTTTTTTTTTGTAGAAAATATGGAAACATCTGAAGATCAAACTGAATGAAACTACTGTGAGAAGGTTTCCACACAAACACTGAATGACAGACTGCATACGGTTGGAATTACAACAGAAAAAGTTCTGGTTTTTATAATCTAAGAAAACAGTAGGCACACACACAGGTACAATATGGAATAATTCCTGCACTCTAAGAAAAGGGATGTGGGCAGTGTTTCATAACCAGTGGGTCCCAGTATAACTGCAAGTACTATTGCTGGACCACTTCCCAGGCTGCAAATCTCCATCTGTATGCCAGGAGTGCTTGTGTGTGTCCTTGTACTCTCCCTGTACTCTTAAAGGCATCATGTCTTGCTACCTTATTCTTCTGCTCACACACTAGAAATAACCCCCTCTTGGCAAAGCACCCCTCTGCAAGAGGAGTCTTTTATTTGGCCTGTAACTTTTCTATGAAAACTTAAATAGTAAAAAGTAAAAACCCAATTATGACAGTGTGCCTCAGGGATAAACAGTTGGCAACATAACAGATGGAGACAGGAAGGAAAACAAGACTTCACAAGGCTTCTAGATCTTAACTGATCAAAACATGTAAAGCCAAAATATTCATTGTAGGTGTGAAAAGACATCTGCTTTCCATGAATTTAAGCTAAAACATTACAAAAACTCCTCTCTACAATCATTAGGGAATACAGCATTGTGTATAACTATCCCAATACACACTAAAGGAGATAGAAAATTGTTTTAGTTCCCTGGAAAGTAATTAATTTAATTTAATGCATTAGAACCACAGTATTCTCTGAAGAAAGTTCTAAGCAGGAAACTTATAAGTGCATTATAAGAAAACTTGCAACATACACTAAAAATAATGGATGCTCATTAGTTTTGGCAAAATTGTACTTCAATTTTTTATTAAAAAAACCCTGTAATCACTTTACTTGTTATCCCAGCAAGTGTAGCACAACAACCTCTCTGAAAGAGAATTCCTGAGAAAGTAGTTCTTGATATCTTTTTTAATGTGCACTCACTCTGTTCTTCAGTTACTGCTATATTTCATTCTGACTAATAAGAGAAATAATAAAATTATACCTCATATAAGTAGTCTGTCGAGTGATACTGTAAAGCTGCAAACATCTTGTTTTGTGATGTTTTCAACACTCCAATTGTCTGGAAGACATACAGAATATGGATTAGTTATAAATTTTTATATCCTCTAAAAATGTTGAAAGAAAAGGTTGAAATTCAGGTTCAACAAGAATAGCTTTGTAATTTCTAGCATATGCACCCTGGACTGAATTTCCTATAAAAGAAGGCTACACAAAGCATTCAGTGTTATTCCTTTGGAAGGATGTAACAGACCAACTACAGACCATGCACACTTGATTTCTATCCGAAGGAACTGGGCTTTTGGGTTTTATTTCAGTTATGCCTCTGGCTGTTTATTCCACAGAAAGCCTTTTAAGGCATTAAGTGAAAGTAAGTAATACAAATTACCTCCCTTAAGCAATAATTTTGAGAAATTATCTGAATCAATGAAATTTTATGGATTATAAATTAGCTTTTAAAGACAGTAGTCTGGCTACCTCCTAAACTATTAACTTTTCACTGGCTAATGTATTTTGGAGAGGATTTTTTCCTCCCTTTTTTCAGTTTTACAAGGGTAAAGGAGATTATAGGTATAAGCTATAGGAGTATAGATTAGCTGGGAGCACAATGCCCTGCTGGAACGTCAGGTCCCTAAGTAAGCTGATGCTTCTGATGGGAACCAGGAGTGAAACAAAAACTATACAAGGACAGAGATACAGTGTGAGTGCAAAACAGACTATATGACAGCTCAGGTGTGCATAAGGTAAGAGAATATTTGTTCTTAATTAAAATTAGGTACAAGAGTCAAAGTTAAAGTAAGGTAATTCTATCAAAAAAGTGTACAATGTAAATGAAATGTAACCAACTTAAACTGTAGGGTCATAAGGGAAACTCATGACAGAAGACTGTCTTCATATCAGTAAGTATCAGTAAGATACCAAGAGGCTAAAATTGCCTATGTAAAAAATTTGGAAACACCAAATTCAGGTACGGAAACTGGAACCCATGGAGGAAAAAATAATTAGGGGCTAGTTGCTTACTTCAGAGGAGTCTGGGCAGAGAAAGGAAGTGCAGGAGAGGTAAAAAGGTAAGTTCAGGCAAGAAAATGGAACAGAGAATAAGGTATAAAATCATATAGAGAACAAAATAGAGGGGAACCTTCTGATGGAAGGAGTACGGATAGTTAGAAACAGTGGATTAAAACCATGGGATGCTAAAGAAAACCCTTTGCACAATCTGCTGGACCCTCCATCAGTTGCACATCCAACAGACTTGGTGTGGAAGAATGGAGCAAGAAGGGATGGGTTTGCAAGGAGGGAATGGATCAGTACCCTATCACTGAGTGCTGAAGGGCAGGGAATAGAATTGCAATTTCATAGCATTGATGTGTATCACCGACAAATATTTCCTCATAGCAATAAAACCATGCATTCATGCAATATAGTAGCTATAGAATAGCAACTACTACTCCCAGGGAAATAATTTCAATTAACATAGCTAAAAGTAGTGAACTGCTCAGCAGTCACTTTAGGTACCGCTAGTTTCTTAAGAGTGTGTCAATCACTAAACATTAAAACCACCTCAATCGGGTAAGTTCCAAATTTCCAATTCAAAACTCAAAGTCTGTGGCCTAGAAATACTAGTCTGTGGGGACACAAGGAAGTCTTCGATCTTTTTTAAGGCAAGACGAGCCTGCAGAAGGGTATGACCCAGTTTCACTCTCCAAGAACTCGAGGGAACACCGCTCTCAGTGAAATACGCAGTCCGAGGTACTTCTGCCAGCACCAAGTGTTTTTAAATCTGCAGCAGTACGGACGGAAACTATCCCGGTGTAACCCACCTCCGCTCAGCCCCTGATGCCCACACGGCCGCCCTTCCCCTCAGCGCCGCCGCGCCTCCGCCCCGCCCATGCGGGATGGCGAACGCGCCCCTGCGATTGGCTGCCGCCCGGAGTTCGCCCCTCTGATTGGCTGCCGGCCCTCCCGCCCTGTGCGCCCCAGCCACCTCCCCCCCCGTTCCCTTCCCTCAGGAGCGGCTCATGCCTGACGGCTGCGTATATACAGAGGAATTCCTTGGAGTTAGCTTAACTTAAGGAAAACTTACCTGATCTTCAAAGCTGAATACATTTTTAAAGCAGTACATGCATAAGTAAATGCAGCTAAGCAACTACATTCCATCCTTTGTTCCCCCGGTAGCTGCATGCAAGGGAGAAGACAAGAAAGGGACCGGGTTGGCTCCTAAAGTGTAACTGAGACTGCTGACCCGCTGCCTGCTACCTGGGGCATAGAAATGGAACGAGGCCACAATTTAGCATCCAGATATGCTTCCGCTTCACGTGGCCGGCAAACGTATGAAATGTCTGTGTCTGCAAAAAGCTATCAGTTTAGGGAAAAGTGCCATTTATTTACTTAGTTAGTTTTAATTGGCTGCCTAAATTTCTCCCACAACCCTCAAGCTGCTGTCTGTTGAACAAATTGTTGTGTTTCTCAGAAGGCACTCTAGTGTCAGATTTCTGCTGTGTCCAGGCCCTGACTAATCCCTCGTCTGGCAGAAATTTCAAGAGTAGTTGTGAGAACGCTCCATCCCCCCACCTTCATCCCACACCATCCGACTGTACACACATCCTAGCTGTAACTAGGCTCCAGATGTGGTTCTGCTTGCTGAAATGGCACCTTATTACGGAGGTTGGCACCACAAAGCCATTACATTGCCTGTCTCTGCCTCCTCCTCCTTTTACTATAGCTGTGGGTACCCACAGAGTACGTGTTGGAAGTGCAGAAACCTTTGGCAATGCTGCAGCAGGTGCATTGAGCCAGTTGCTGTAATAGTTTTGGGAATCTGGAAAAATGTGGCTCCTCCAAGAACTCCTTCCAGGTTGAGTTCCACATTAGGATAGGTTTTTCTGTGGAAAACAAAATTTACAGTTTTCACTCTGGTTCCAATAACTCCACCAGTATTTGTACATCCCAGTGAGTGAAAAAGTTAACTAAAAAGTGTACAACAGATGCTGTCTTTACTACTACAAAGTGTTTTTTCTTTTAACTGGAAGGATGGTTCTAGCCCAATCACAGGCATATTGCCAATGTTTTCCAGACAGTTGTTCCTATGAAGAAAGCAAATGCTGATACTGAAAAGTTTTCTTGGTATTTTTATATTTAATATGTATTTCTACTCTGCTCTCCAAGAATTGGGAGACAAATTGTTAGGCGAAGTAGGCACAATGCAAAAAACACAGGAACTTCCAATTCAAATACTTCAGAGTTGCTCATTTCCACTTGGAATATAGAGAAATGCATGTTTTTACCCCAGATGAGGAAACAAAGTAGCAGTATATCATGGGTATTGAAGAGGATGTTACAGCACAGAAATGCCCCCAATAGCAAACTGTTTTCTGGAAAATGTTGAAAGTGCCTTAATTACACAGCTACTGCAAGAAACAATGCAGCAACACATACTGTGATTAAAGGAAGAGAGGTATCCTAGGCAGACTATATCTCTAGTTTTTCTTCATCAGATCCAGGAGTTAACGGGTTACATACCCTGCAGAAGAAATTTGGCAGCAATTCATAGTTACCTCCATGACATGATTTTCCTCAGATACACCAGTAAAACTACAACTTTTAGAAGTTGTATGGGAATTGTTTGTATGGCTGAAAAAAAGTGCTAAGTAGTATATACTAGGTATATTACTGCTGTTAAAATTAAGGTCATAAATGGAAGAAGGCCTTCCATCACACTACTGAACACAGGCAAAGCCTGTGTCTATGCAGGACGCCAGTGGGAGAGAGGTACATGAAATCAAAGTGCTTTGGTACTCACCAGGCAAGCACATGTTTTCCTTAAGACTACAGTGCTGCATCTTAGTTCAATTTCTTGTGAGTGAAGCTGAAAATGCTGTGGATGAGAATAACATAAATGCCAATTAGTACCGTGAGGGTAAGGAATGTGGGGAGAGATGAGATGAATTTTGGCAGCTGCATGTGTTTCTCGTCCTCATCTTTTACATTTGGGCTACTCTTTAGATCAGAAATGATGGTGAAATATTGGATATTAGCCCTGATCAATGCTATGGAATGCTGTGCTCTTTCCTCAACTGTCAGAATTTATCACTGAAATCCAGAAAGAGTTTTTGAGAATATTTTGGAGGGTTGAGCACAAGATTACTATGAATACAGTCATAATCTTGACTATATCTCATTGTTCTCTAGAAAGCAGTCTGTTGTGAGCTGAATCACAGCTGATCCAATTCAGCTAAACTGTGTACAAGTGGCACCAACTCATGTTAACTGAGAATTTGGTTTCCTTTTTTTCCCCTCATTTCATTTTGTGTTAGTCGTAGAAATCAGAACTGAAGCTTCAGCAGCAGCAGTGTAGTGTAGAGCCTGGCAGAGCTGACCGTGTTGTCCCTGTCAATCCCAGGACTGTGCTGAGGGTACATCCCCACCTGGCACATCATCCCGGACTGGATGATGCCATCACTGTTGAAGGAACTGCAGATGAAGACAACAGAACATCCATTTTTTTATGCTGCTTGCATGTGCCTGCAGCAGTCCTCTCCAACCTACCATGGCAAACAGGCTTTAACCCGCCTGTCTTTTCCTTCCTGCTCCCTCTACCTCATCCTGGTACTGCCCTAGCTCAGAGAGCTCAGCTGAGCTGCTGCATAGGATGAGGAGGCAAACTCAGGTGGATGAGGAGGTTTATACAGGTGAACTAAAACAGCTGCCAGGAACACCCGAAGCCCCCTGATAAGTGGAATACAAGTGCAGCTGCTTGCTACCAGCAGCATGCAGGAAGCCTTACACCACCCTCTGTTCACCCTCTCTAGCTTCAGCTCATGCAAGGACTCCATCCAATCCCTGTCCCTCTCCTGCTGCTCCTCCTTGGCTCTCAGCTCATGGTCCCACAGCTTCAGCTCTGCCTGCTCCTATGAAGTGCATGGGGAAAACGAATGCATTACCTGCTCTGTTCTGGACACTGTCTCACTTATGGCTTTCCCAAGTCATGAAGGAGATCTGTTCCTGCTGAACTTCTCATGTGGGCCAGTTTGGGGTGCAGAGCAGCACCACCAGGTACTTGAGCAGTGGGCTCATCCATCCATCCTTGCCAGAGCTGCGATTGTACAGACATGCACACACACACTCCTTCCCTGTAAAGGATGGAGCCCCTTGCCATGTTGCACACCTAAAACATGCTCAAGGCATGGCACTTTGTCAGCAGTGGAGAAACTCAGCCTGAATGGTTATTTTCCACCTGGTAAAAAGGCTGCTCTGCTGCACTGTCTGTGCCACATATTTCCTCTGGGCAGCCCCAGGCTGGAGCAGAACTGACTCTGGACATGTCCCTGTGGCACAGAGAGGCTTTGCTTAGCCTATCTTGGGGGTTCCCCTCACTAGAGTTACAATGGAGGCATCTGTGCCTGCTGTGGCTGCCCAAACTCCTCACTGGCAGAGGACAGAGACAGAGATGGCTGATGTTTCAGTCAACATCTAAGACAGGCTGGTGGAGACTGTTCCTGGAACAGCCTGGTTCTCACCACCCATGGTGACGCCTCTGTCCTAAATACCTGAAGGCAGTGCTGAATGTCTCCTCTGTGTGCAGCACCCACCCCTGAGCCTGCCAGTCGGTGCTGGAGGCCACGGGAAGGGGCTCTGCTGTGGCACCTTGGCCAGTCTCATAATTCTGAAGTCCATCTTCTGAGATTACTCCACCTCATGCCCCAGCTGCTCCTTCAGCAGCCTCTCTCTGGTAGGAAATTCAGCCCACTCAGCCACTAGCTTCCCTTGCTCCTCTGAGAATGGAGATATTTTCTTTTTTTTCAAGTACTTTAGTGAGTCTGTGTCAGAAAACAAAGTAATTATACAACTTTTGGGTTAACTCTATGAAAAATGGAATAAAACAGTACACATTGCTGATTGTAAAGTAGACATGAAGGGTAGAGTAAAGCATTGCAGTGACTCATCTAATCTGTCTTGGTCAGGTAAATGTGTTTTAAATAAACCAAATCATGTTGAATCATGGAAGTGGCCAGCCCTAAGCTGTGTTATATGAACAAGCCAAGAACATGAGAAATTACAGATCCTTACAGGTAGGAAAAAGTGAATAATGTATATGTGTTTTTTTCAGTCAGCTTTCACCAATGGATACAGCAAAAAGATGCCAACATAAAAAATGGCAGTAATGAGAAATACTGTACTTAAAAAGCCAAACTAAAATGAAAAACAGAATCAATTGGAACAGGATTGACAGGAGAAGAGGAGTAAATCAAAGCATTAAAGGAGAACATCTTTGGAGCTCTCTTCCAAACATTGATAAGGCCAGACACAGGTAATGTCACTTCATCTCTTACTCTCCTAACAGGTCAATATTTGTTTCAAATTTTAGGTAAGATTTTTTTAAAGAAAGGTTGATTTTTATTAGCTCCTTTTTTCCCAGATTATTTTCAACTAAATGCAGTCAGAACATGATGCTCGATACATTTTTTTTTAGTGAAAAAATTTATGGGGGTATTTACTAAAGTAATAGCTTCAAGTGGTCTTGTTTGGATTCTTCATTTTGATCTAGCTTATTTTATTTGAAAATGGTAGGTGCTGGTTTTTAAAATGTTTGATTTAAATATTTTTTTGTTGTCTCAGTGTCTGCTTGAGTGTAAACTGAAATTCAATTTATTATAAAAAACATTTTTTGTCTTTTTTATGCAAAACTGTATTTGTCGACTTGTTTAGATAACAGAGTTATTTGTGAATTAAAGTAATTGTTTCTAATTACTAATTCTTTCAGTATACCTGAACTAGCAATACTCATATCTAATTGAATAATAACTCGTAATAGGAAAAAGGAATCCCTGCTATTTGAACTCCTCGATTTTGTAAGAATGTCTCACTGCTCTGTGGTAGCTGAAGAAACTGGGAAAAAAACTCTTAGTATCTACCATAGAGGTTCCTCATGGCAAAAACCATCCATGCATTTCACTGCATTTCATTGACAATGTTTACCAAATAACATACACTCATTCACTGGTTATATCTTGACAGAAAGCATGTATCCAATTATGTATTAGCATGAATATGTATTAGCATGAATTATGTATTAGCATGAAAGCATGTATTAATACATTATTGTATTAATATTGAATTTGGATCTCGATGTAGGTTGACATCACAATACATTACATCTCAATTAAATAGGGTTTTTTGAAAGAAAATACATTAGATAAAATCTTCATCCAAAAAACCAAATTAATTCTACTTATGTTGCTAGCCACTTAAATGGCTGAACAGGTAGGACCATACATTTATGCAAATGTGAATCTAATTGCGTCCATTTATTAATTCAACCATAATTGTAATGTGTTGGATATTATACCACATTATTTGATTGCCCAAAATTTTTATGAGAAAAAAGGGGACTGTTTGTTAATGTCTGGTATTTACCCCAACTGTCATTCAAAATCTGAACGTTTTTTTTCAAAGTTAAATTCTTCACAAACCAAACCTACAGATACAGGACATGGGGTAAGAATACTGGAAATTAAAAGTTAAGACCCTTTCACTGCATCACCATGATTTGTGAATAGCATTTCTTTAAATACTTTTTACAGTCATTGA